CAATTGAAAATGTTTTTTTTAGATTGCAGTATAAAGACAATAATAGTGCATTGACTTGACATATCAACGATATAAGGATTCAGCCCGAAACGGGGAAAAAGCTCGGCAGAGCCTCGCATTTCCCCGTTTCTAAGCCTCATCCCTATATCGTTGATATGTCAAGTCAATGCACTATTATTGTCTATAGCTATATCTTATAATCTATAGCTGTATATATCAAAAAGCATTTTCAATAAAACAATATAACAGTATATTTAAACAAAATTTATGATTTAATAACTTAAGATACAATGTACATGTACTTTTTTTAGCTCACCTGGCCCGAAGGGCCAAGTGAGCTTTTCTCATCACTTGGCGTCCGTCGTCCGGCGTCGTCCGGCGTCGTCCGTCGTCGGCGTTAACTTTTTATACGACCGCAAAAAAATTTTTGTGGTCGTATATTGGTATGACATTGGCGTCGTCGTCGTCCGGCGTCGTCGTCGTCGTCCGGCGTCGTCCGAAGACACATTGGTTTTCGCACTCTAACTTTAGTTTAAGTGAATGGATCTTTATGAAATTTTACCACAAGGTTCAATACCACAAAAGGAAGGTTGGGATTGATTTTGGGGGTTATGGTAATAACAGTAAAGGAATTAGGGGCCAAAAAGGGGCCAAAAATAAGCATTTTTGTAACTTCCAGACATAACTTGTGTGTTAGTGTATGGATCTCTCTGACATTGTACCACAAGGTTCCATATCACTAAAGGAATGCTGGGATTGATTTTGGGGGTAATTGCCTCCAAATTTTAGGAATTAGGGGCCAAAAAAGGGGCAAAAAACAAGCATTTTTCTAGTTTCATGACAATAACTTGTGTGTAAGTGTATGGATCTTTCTGAAATTGTACTACAAGGTTCCATATCACAAAGGGAAAGCTGGGTTTGAGTTTGGGGGTAATTGCCCTAAACGTTTAGGAATTTGGGGCCAAAAAGGGGCCAAAAAACACATTTTTTTCTAGTTTCCAGACAATAACTTGTGTTCAAGTGTATGGATCTCTCTGAAATTGTACTGCAAGGTACCATACCACAAAGGGAAGGCTGGGATTGAGTTTGGGGGTGATGAATCATAATGGGGGTTCAAAAAATTTTTGGGGGGGATTTATTTTTTTTTCCCTTTTTTTCTTTTTTTCCTTTTTTGTTTCTTTTAAAATTTTCCATTTTAAGTTGGTTATTTCTGATTTATATTTAAAATCAAATAATAATGATATGGTAGGAGATACACACCAAACAGGATGTGTAAATTATTATATAATAAGTATTGTGCAATAGCAAGAAATTTTCAATTGCACAGTATTGCACAATAGCAAGAAATCTTCAATTGCACAGTATTGCGCAATAGCAAGAAATCTTCAATTGCACAGTATTGCGCAATAGCAAGAAATATCCAATAGCACAATATTGCGCAATAGCAAGAAATTGTCAATTGTACAGTATTGCGCAATAGCAAGAAATATTTAATAGCACAGGATTGTGCAAAAGAAGATACTTCCTATAAATTGCTTATTTCTTGACCAATTTCAATGGGGTTTTATTCTTGATTTCATGGGGTTCTTTAATATGCTGAATCTAACCGTGTATTTAGTTTTTGGATTTTGGGCCCCGTTTTTAAATTGGTCCACATTGAGGTCCAAAGGGTCCAAAATTAAACTTTGTTTGATTTCATCAAAAATTGAATTATTGGGGTTCTTTGATATGCCGAATCTAACTGTGTATTTAGATTCTTAAATTTTGGTTCCGTTTTCAAATTGGTCTACATTAAGGTCCAAAGGGTCCAAAATTAAACTTAGTTTGATTTTAACAAAAATTGAATTCTTAGGGTTCTTTGATATGCTGAATCTAAACATGTATTTAGATTTTTGATTATGGGCCCAGTTTTCAAGTTGGTCCAAATTGGGGTCTAAAATTAAACTTTGTTTGATTTCAACAAAAATTGAATATATGGGGTTCTTTGATATGCTGAATCTAACCATGTATTTAGATTTTTGATTTTTGGGCCCGGTTATCAACTTTGTCCACATTGAGGTCAAAAGGGTCCAAAATTAAACTTTGTTTGATTTCATCAAAAATTGAATTATTGGGGTTCTTTGATATGCCGAATCTAACCGTGTATTTAGATTCTTAATTTTTGGTTCCGTTTTCAAATTGGTCTACATTAAGGTCCAAAGGGTCCAAAATTAAACTTAGTTTGATTTTAACAAAAATTGAATTCTTAGGGTTCTTTGATATGCTGAATCTAAACATGTATTTAGATTTTTGATTATGGGCCCAGTTTTCAAGTTGGTCCAAATCGGGGTCCAAAATTAAACTTTGTTTGATTTCAACAAAAATTGAATATATGGGGTTCTTTGATATGCTGAATCTAACCATGTATTTAGATTTTTGATTTTTGGGCCCGGTTATCAACTTTGTCCACATTGAGGTCAAAAGGGTCCAAAATTAAACTTTGTTTGATTTCATCAAAAATTGAATTATTGGGGTTCTTTGATATGCCGAATCTAACCGTGTATTTAGATTCTTAATTTTTGGTTCCGTTTTCAAATTGGTCTACATTAAGGTCCAAAGGGTCCAAAATTAAACTTAGTTTGATTTTAACAAAAATTGAATTCTTAGGGTTCTTTGATATGCTGAATCTAACCATGTATTTAGATTTTTGATTTTTGGGCCCCGTTATCAACTTTGTCCACATTGAGGTCAAAAGGGTCTGAAATTAAACTTTGTTTGATTTCATCAAAAATTGAATTCTTGGGGTTCTTTGATATGCTGAATCTAACCATGTATTTAGATTTTGGATATTGGACCATAATAGGTGAATGTCCAATTTAAAATTTTTAAGTTCTTAGACCACATTCAATCTGTGTTAGAAACCTATGCTGTGTCAAATATTTAATCACAATCCAAATCCAAAGCTGTATCAAGCTTGAATGTTGTGTCCATACTTCCCCCAACTGTTCAGGGTTCGACCTCTGCGGTCGTATCAAGCTGCGCCCTGCGGAGCATTTTATTACATTTTGAACTTCTTCTAGAGAACCACTGAATGGAATGAAACCAAACATGGCATGAATGTTCCTTATGAGGTGCTGACCAAGTGTTGTTACTTTGTAGCCGATCCATCATCCAAGATGGCCGCCAGCGGGGGACTTAGTTTAACATAGGACCCTATGGGAAATGCATACAAATGACTTCTTTTAGAGAACCACTGAATGGAATAAAACCAAACATGGCATGAATGTTCCTTATGAGGTGCTCACCAAGTGTTGTTACTTTGTAGCCGATCCATCTTCCAAGATGGCCGCCAGCGGGGGACTTAGTTTAACATAGGACCCTATGGGAAATGCATACAAATGACTTCTTTTAGAGAACCACTGAATGGAATAAAACCAAACATGGCATGAATGTTCCTTATGAGGTGCTGACCATGTGTTGTTACTTTGTAGCCGATCCATCATCCAAGATGGCCGCCATCGGGGAACTTAGTTTAACATAGGACCCTATGGGAAATACATACAAATGTCTTCTTTTAGAGAACCACTGAATGGAATGAAACCAAACATGGCATGAATGTTCCTTATGAGGTGCTGACCAAGTGTTGTTACTTTGTAGCCGATCCATCATCCAAGATGGCCGCCAGCGGAGGACTTAGTTTAACATAGGACCCTATGGGAAATACATAAAAATGTCTTCTTTTAGAGAACCACTGAATGGAATGGAACCAAACATGGCATGAATGTTCCGTATGAGATGCTGACCAAGCGTTGTTACTTTGCAGTCGGTCCATCATCCAAGATGGCCGCCAGCGGGGGACTTAGTTTAACATAGGACCCTATGGGAAATACATACAAATGTCTTCTTTTAGAGAACCACTGAATGGAATGAAACCAAACATATCATGAATGTTCCTTATGAGGTTCTGACCAAGTGTTGTTACTTTGTAGCCGATCCATCATCCAAGATGGCCGCCAGCGGGGGACTTAGTTTAACATAGGACCCTATGGGAAATACATACAAATGTCTTCTTTTAGTGAACCACTGAATGGAATGAAACCAAACATGGCATGAATCTTCCTTATGAGATGCTGACCAAGTGTTGTTACTTTGTAGCCGATCCATCATCCAAGATGGCCCCCAGCGGGGGACTTAGTTTTACATAGGACCCTTTGGGAAATACATAAAAATGTCTTCTTTTAGAGAACCAATAAATGGAATGGAACCAAACATGGCATGAATGTTCCTTATGAGATGTTGACCAAGTGTTGTTACTTTGCAGCCGATCCATCATCCAAGATGGCCGACAGCGGGGGACTTAGTTTAACATAGGACCCTATGGGAAATACATACAATTGTCTTCTTTTAGAGAACCACTGAATGGAATTGAACCAAACATGGCATGAATGTTCCTTATGAGTTGCTGACCAAGTGTTGTTACTTTGCAGTCGATCCATCATCCAAGATGGCCGCTAGGGGGGGGGGGGGGGGGGGGGGCTTAGTTTAACATAGGACCCTATGGGAAATACATACAAATGTCTTCTTTTAGAGTACCACTGAATGGAATGAAACCAAACATGGCATGAATGTTCCTTATGAAGTGCTGACCAAGTGTTGCTACTTTGTTGCCGATTTACTGTTCAAGATGGCCACCAGGATATTTTATTAAATAACGGGACCAATATTAATCAAAATTTGGCCTCAATCATTATTTGGGTATCTGTTATGATTTTTATCTATCTTTACATGATTTCTAAAACCAAAGTAGAGTCAGGTGAGCGACACAGGCTCTTGAGAGCCTCTAGTTTTATATTGGAGTAACAACATGAACAACAAGTTATAATTAAAAACTTAACCAACATTAATCATTAAAATTCAATTACTTTTTATAAACATAATTAGAAATAGAGATCTTCAACATAAATGAACTATTTACAATCAGAATAAATATATATCACAGTTGTTGGAACTATATATCACAGATGTTGAAACCAGTATATCACAGATGTTGAAACTACGGTATATCACAGATGTTGAAAGTAGGGTATATCACAGATGTTGAAACTATATCACAGATGTTGAAACTATATCACAGATGTTGATTTAATGTATACAGGATGGGTTAATAGCAATCACTCAACTAACTGTCCAGAAACTGTTATCAAAGAATCAGTAACCGAAGATTAAACAAAGGTATGTTAAGAAAGTCCTCCTGAGCTGTAAAGAAATGTAGACAGTTCCCATGTATAAAGCTGTATCAGTTCTGAAACTGCCAGTAAAATAGTTGCATGTACATGTACCTACACTTTCTTTAAAAAAAATATAAAAAAAACAATTGATAATCTTTGCTTATGTTAATGATTGGAAGTAACTTTTTGACAGTAAAATAAGTTTTAATGTGCAAGTGTCATAGTGTTGGGAGGAACATTTTTTTGGTTTATAATTCAAATGAAAAATATTCTATTTTCCCACCCTCAACTACTAATCACAGATCAACTAAGCCAGTTAGCCATCATGTTTTTAATTTTTTAATTTTAATGGAAGACATTTTTTAAGTTTTTTAAAAGTTACAGATATTATATATAGGAAATCACTTTTTATAGAAAAGATAGTTTTTCTGTTTATCATTTTTCTTAACATGCTTTGAATAAAACAATCAATTTTATACATTGCTATAAGTATTCCCCATTTCCATTCTCAATTTTATTGATAAATCTACATTTAAAAATATCTTTAATAAGTAAAAATTATGGAGTGTTCATGTTACTATTTTACTGGCATGAAAGAAAGACATCACTGTTCCATCTCTTCAAGTGGCGAAATCAGTGGTTCACTGAGGTTCCGGTGGTTAAAAATGGAGAAGCACCGAAGACAGACATTCTTCGCAAGAGCAGGTTTTGTGCAACACCTGTTGTGTACCCACTGATCACAAGCATCACACTGAAACCAGGATATATACTTGTCCTTTTGAATAGGCTTGGGTGGTTCAGTGCTACCACAGGTATTGCACAAAATCTCATCAGCATCATTGATGGTATCAGAGACACTGTCCTCAAAGTCATTGTCATTTTCAACGTCATTCCCCTCCTCCTCCCCCTCTGAAAACATGTAAGGAATTGTCCTTTGACTGTCTTGGCTGTCATTGTCCGTCATGTCAATCACCACTGGATCGACGTCTTCGTCTCTGATGCCATCAAGTTTCCTGAGCTTTTCCTCAAACTCCCTTTCCACATGAGTCTCAAATTTAGCCCAGCGCTCCGCATCGATATGGGACTTGGCCTCCTCAAAAAGCTTGATAATGTCTTTTTTCTTGCAGCTAGAATTATGTCTAGCTACATAGCCTTTTAAGTAAGACCAAACCATTTCGATGGGATTGAGCTCACAATGGTAAGGAGGTGTTCGTAAAATCTCATGGCCATTAGCTGATGCAAGTTCGTCTATAATATACCTAGGAAGAGGTTTGTGTTGCTTCACCAAATCAAGCAGCTCGGCCTTTTTCATTTTCTTATCATACTGAACAATGCTCTTCTCCAGCCATGCCGAGATCTCTGACTTGTTGCTGTTAGTGTTTGGTACCCTTGAGTCAGGATCTAAGTGACTGTGATACGGAGCATTGTCCATTATGATTACAGACCGAGGAGGCAGTTTAGGGAGAAGTGTATCTCTGAACCACTCTGTAAAGTGCTCCTTATTCATCTCGTCATGATAATCAGAGCTGTTGGTTTTCGACTCAAATATAAGACCACATCCGGGGATTAGGCCTTGTTGAGAGGAGCCAACATCTAGGATTATCAATCTAGTACCCTTGCCAGAAGGGACTTTCCGATGGGTACCTTTACAGTGGGGCTCAAAGACAGACATGGACGTGCTGGGAACATCCAGCCAGTCACCCTTTACCACATGATTAGTGTTCAACCAAGTCTCATCTAGATATACAATATGACGCCCCTGCTGCCTAAACTTACGTATCTTACGAAGATATGTCATTCTCATGAGAACGATGTCCTCCCTCTCCGACACAGATCTTCGGCTTGACGCATTCTTGTAGAACCTGAAAAAAAAAATTTATATAAATATATACATTCACAATTGCATAACATTTAAGGGTTATTACACTGAAACATAATTGGGGCGCAAAGAACGTACTTTTAAATCTCAACTAAAAGTGGGTGTCAATAACATTCTATATTTGTCGCTTTAAGAGGATACCACATTTTGAAAGAGACTTCTGCAGGTTTATGTTTAAAAGGAACATTATAATAGTGATTGATGCATGTGATTTATTTTTCACATATGTTTAATAATTTGTAGCTATAAATTTGAATTGTGGTTTATTTGTTTTCAGACTATTTTGCTGATGACTACAGAGCAAAAAAATATTTCCAATATGTATAGACATGTCCTTCAATACTGAAATGTGTATTTAATGCAGGTAAATATTTCATTAATTCAAGTTATGAAAGTGTTTCAGATTTTTGAATCAATGATTTTTATGTTGTTTGTGCTGTATTTAGACACCTCTACCAAGAAATTTGTTTTGCATGCACACATACAAAAATAGAGGTTTTTATCCAACGCAATCATAGGTTTGAACGTTGTTTTCAATTTAGACTTGTGTGTATATATAATTGATAATTAAACATGTTAAAAGAGATGATTTAAGATACATGTACTACAAAACAATGGATTAAGTCCAAACATTATGAATGAAATTAATTACCGAAACCCCAGTAAACGCACTGTTCTCGACACTGTTGATATGGAAACGTCGATGTCTTTCTTTTTCAGAGCTTGCTGCAGACTTGGCATGGTCACTGACTGGGATTTCTTGTGCAGATCATAGATGGTCCTTCTCACCACACCTTTGTCGAAATCATCCAACTTCTGGTTCTTCTTGACAGTTTTCTGGACAGCAGCCTTATGAACTGCCTTCACCACATCCTGCACAGCATCATCACTGGCATCTGTATGGACATAACGTCGCAGTGTTGTTGGTTTAATCCCTGAAATTTCAATTGTCCATGTATTTCAGCATATAACATAAAAATGATAGAAAAAACTTGTATATAATTGTATAGAGTGGATTCAAGGTGGTTGGGGGCATTTATATATCTGCTTGTTTGCATAGTCATAAAAAATTGTTGTTCGACTTGCATAGCTTGACAATATATTTAAGGAATAACAGTACTGTAGTTGAAGAGTTGCCACCGTCAATTGTCGATTTGACGATCGCAAATGCAGTTTTACTGGTGATGCGTAGCGGAGACAGTAAAACGGAAATTTCAACTGTCAAATCAAAATTGACGGTGGCAACTCTTCAACTACAGTACTGTTATTCCGATTCTAATGCAATACAAAAAGAAATAATACGTTAGAGCTTGACAAAATGTATAAATTTCACATACAAAAAAATCCGCGAAACTTCTTGAATGATTTTGGCGCAAAAACGTCATGGCTAAGTGTGATGTCATTCAAATGAAAACTGACAAACTGAAGGTTATTATGTTACCTCTACGATTTAAATTCGGATAAAATCACATTAAAACGGCGAATTGGTTGTAGGTTTTGTTTTATTTTCGATAATATTGTAGTAATCGAACATTTGTTGATCCAATCAATTCAAAATGGCGGATCCCTCCTTAGTTAAGCCTGGTCAACTGTGGATTTGACGGTAACTTTTAGCCAATGAAAAAAATTGTTACATAAAAATTGCATTAGAATTCAAGTTTTCTTATCACCACTTAAATATTTATTAGATTTGCCCCAATTACATTATCTGAAACTTATCCTAATGTACACGTGATTCATCTAAAATTACTATATTTGGTGTATGTGGAAGGATTGGAATGGAACTCATGTCCAAGGGTACATCTGACCCTCGCTTCATTTTCATGTTTAATTGTTGATGTGTATTTACAGTTAACTGTTTTACCTGCAAATTTGCTATTGATGCCTTGACCTTATGAATTGATATTTATGAGGTTGAAAATATCTTTCATCAAGTTTTATCTATAGACATCATTTGGTTTGCACAATTATATGTTATTAAAAATAACAAGACCCCAATAATTGAGGTCTCCAACAAAGTTTGTCTGCTTTAAAATCATAATTGTTGATTTTATGCAAATAATTTTTCTTTTTTTTTCAGTTATGTAAAACTGAAATTTTTTTTAAAAAAATAAGTTAATTTTACCTGTTGCCTTTACTAGTCTTTTAATGGGATTTTGAAGTGCCCATGGTTTATTTTTCTCCTTCTCTCCCACAAAGAATTGGTAAACTTTCCTCAATAATTCTTTTGTCTGAAAAAAAACAACAACATTTTGTATATGATCAAAGGGAGGTAATCCATAGTAAGAATGGGATGTGATTGTTCTATATAAGATTCTTGTTACGTTTCATTTTTTAAAATGCAGAGGGTTTGGTAAAAATGACAGTGCACAAAGATTAAATTATGTACATGTAGTTATGTATAAAGATTGGAGTTGAATTTTTGTTATCGTGTAATGATCTTTGTATAAATGTTGTCGCTGATTAAACCAATTTTTAAGGTTATTTATAATTGCAAGACACTGACATGTTGTATGGCATTCTTAATCAACAGTTATCATTTATAATTATATATTATTGTTGTATACTAGTATATCAAAATATTTGTTCTAATGTAGCTGTGAAATTGATTTAAGGTACTGCATTTGTAGTAAAATTTAAATAATTTGAAAGATTTCTAATTTGTTCTAAGCACTTCTTGGTGATATTTATATTTTTCTTTTGTTGTAATTTTGTGAGTACATTATTAATTGTATTATTATGGTAGCTGTTTATTCCTTCATTACCATCAGTCATATAAGGCAGTATGGACGAGGTTTACAAATTAAAAGATAATGGAAAAGCATGGTGATTAAGAAAAAGAAAGGAAAATAGAAAACTTTTTTTTTTACTAAAAGATAAAAAAAATAATTATGTGTTAAAATTTAAAGAATATATAACAATGGCATGAAATTAATCATATAAATGAACACCACCCTATTCAGACCCTCATATGTAACTGGTAACCCAAACTATGTAGGAGTGTTGCCTTTCCTGTTAAAGAATTATGAGCAAAAAGTAGTTCTTGTTTTCTATGTCTTTTTATGCCCCGCCATAGTGGAGGGGTCATTAAGTTTTAACCTTGTCCATCTGTATGTTCGTCCCTCCGTACATCCCAAAAAAGTTTTCCGTTCTCTAAATTTAGTTTGCCTTAACCAAATTTTATGAAACTTATCCACAATGCTTATTACCACAAAACACAGATTGAGGTTTAATTTTGCTTTTACTATTCTAGAGTTATGCCCCTTTACAAATGGAAAAACTGCTGAATTTTATGTTTCTGTTCTCTAACTAAAGTTTGCCTCAACCAAATGTTATGAAACTTTGACACAATGCTTATTACCACAAAACTCAGATCAAGAAGAAATTTGGGTAGCGTCACTTTTACAGTTCTTGAATTATAGCCCTTAACTTTATATGCAAGTGGGGGCATCATCTGTGTCCCATAGACACATTCCCTGTTTATTTTTTTCTTATTATAAAATACCCATTTATAGGGAAATGTTCCGGCCTTTACCAGTGCTTAAATTTAAACCGATACTGTATGGATTCTTAACACTGCATAATAATAAAATTAACAGAAATGGATGCTGGTGGGAGACTAGAGCTTGAAACTCACCTCCAACACTCAAACATATTTAACAGGAGAATTAATGTTGTTTTGTTTTGTATTTTTCTTTTGGGGGGTGGGAGGGGGGATATTAAATTCCGCCATACTAAGTCCTTTTTATACGCCCCAAAAAATTTTTGCGGTCGTATATTGGTATGACGTTGGCGTCGTCGTCTGAAGACACATTGGTTTTCGCACTATAACTTTAGTTTTAAGTGAATGGATCTCTATGAAATTTTACAATAAGGTTAAATACCACAAAAGGAAGGTTGGGATTGATTTTGGGGGTTATGGTACCAACAGTTAGGAATAATGGGCCAAAAAGGGGCCAAAATAAGCATTTTCTAGTTTCCAGACAATAACTTGTGGAAAGGTGTATGGATCTCTCTGAAATTATACCACAAGTTTCCATACCACAAAGGGATGGTTAGGATTTGCTTTGGGGGGTTATGGCTCAAACTGTTTAGGAATTAGGGGCAAAAAAGGGGGGAAAACAAGGTTGTCCTGGTTAATGGACAAATACTTTAGTACAAACCATAATTTAAAGCAGTGTAAGGGAGATAAATCAAATACATCATTTGAATTACCTCCCTTACACTGATTTTAAATTATGTATAAAATAATGGTTAATGTACAATTAAGACAATTTAAAACAGTGTGAGGGAGGTAATCCAAATACAACGTTTTGATTATTTCCCTTACACTGCTTTTAAATTATGTTTAAAGAAATGCATATTTATTAAGGAAGACCAGTAAAAATATCTGCAAATGTTGCATCTTTTTTTTTTACCAAAAAATCCATATGAAAGATTTGACACCATATTTTAAATTCTATTATAAAATAGATTAAGTTAGCACTATGGTAAATTTAAATGGGTAATTATGGTTGCAAACTCCATTGGAAATTTAATTTGAATTGAGATTATCACCATATCTTGAGGGAAAGAATTTTTTTGGGGATAAAGGGTGGGGGGGGGGAATAAAAAGAAATTGTGGGGTAAATTTTGTCTTATTTCAGATTTCAGAAGTTAAAAGAATTATTCTTCAAATATTATCTTTTTTTCAAATTTCAAATATTGAAAAATTTCAAGAAGTAATCTTTAATTGCACAGTATGGCGCATTAGATTTGTAAAATCTTTGACAACATGTATTTATTTGTTTATTTGTTATGCCGAATCTGACCGTGTATTTAGATTTTTAATTTTGGGTCCAGTTTTCAAATTGGTCTACATTAAGGTCCAAAGGGTCCAAAATTAAACTTAGTTTGATTTTAACAAAAATTGAATATATGGGGTTCTTTGATATGCTGAATCTAAACATGTATTTAGATTTTGATTTTGGGCCCAGTTTTCAAGTTGGTCCAAATTGGGGTCCAAAATTAAACTTTGTTTGATTTCAACAAAAATTGAATATTTCGGGTTCTTTGATATGCTGAATCTAACCCTGTATTTAGATTTTTTATTTGTGGGCCCCGCTATCAAATTGGTTCATTTTGAGGTCAAAAGAGTCCAAAATTAAACTTTGTTTGATTTCATCAAATATTGAATTATTTGGGTTCTTTGATATGCCAAATCTAACAGTGTATTCAGATTTTTAATTTTGGGTCATGTTTTTTAAATTGGTCTACATGAAGGTCCAAAGGGTCCAAAATTAAACTTAGTTTGATTTTAACAAAAATGGAATTCTTGGGGTTCTTTGATATGCTGAATCTAAACAGGTGTTTAGATTTTTGATTATGGGCCCAGTTTTCAAGTTGGTCCAAGATGGGGTCCAAAATTATACTTTGTTTGATTTCAACAAAAATTGAATAAATGGGGTTCTTTGATATGCTGAATCTAACCATATATTTAGATTTGTTATTTGTGGGCCCCGTTATCAAATTGGTCCACATTGAGGTCAAAAGGGTCCAAAATTAAACTTTTTGTTTGATTTCATCAAAAATTGAATTCTTTGGATTCTTTGATATGCTGAATCTAACCATGTATTTAGATTTTGGATATTGGACCATAATTAGTAAATTAAAATTTTTTAAGTTCTTAGACCACATTCATTCTGTGTCAGAAACCTATGCTCTGTCAAATATTTAATCACAATCCAAATTCAGAGCTGTATCAAGCTTGAATGTTGTGTCCATACTTGCCCCAACTGTTTAGGGTTGGACCTCTGTGGTCGTATCAAGCTGCGCCAAGCGGAGCATTTTATTAATATTTGGGAAAACATTCATGAACTAATAGTTTATGCTTCATTTTCCTTGACCCCTTGGCTCCATCTCTTAAAAAGGGTCAGTCAAATGTGTTTGCATATCATTGATATGTAGCAAAGTATTTTTATTGGTATTAATATTGATTTTGTTATCAGTAAATTAAAATCAAACTAAATATTATGGTTTTACAAATATGTAATTTAATGGATCTACAATTTTGTCGATACCTGTTTCTTGGCATTGCACAGGGTCATGTTTTTATTGGATGTTTGATGTGTACAGTTTGATAATATCGTCTTAGATGCATGACTGTTGTCGAGCCTGCAGCTTTTGTCGCAGAAAGCTCGACACAGGGATAGTGATATGGCGGTGGCACTAACTAATTTCTTTAAAGCTTTATATTTAAGAAGGTAGAATACCTGGATCCTTCATACTTTGTATATAGATGCCTTATGTTATGGAGTTTGAGTATGTCATATGTCCATTGACCTTTACCTCATTTTCATGGTTCGGTGACTACTTGAAAAAAAGTTAAGAAATTTTAGTATTCTTAATTTCTCTCTTATTATGAGTAAAATGATAACTTTGTTTGGTATGTCCATACCTTGCAAGTGTCTCAGACAGTTTTGACGATGACGTCATTTAATAGATCAGTGAACAAGGTTAAGTTTTGGTGGTCAAGTCCATATCTCAGATACTATAAGCACAAGGTCAACTATATTTGGTGTATGGAATGATTGTAAGGTGTACATGTCCAACTGACAGGTGTCATCTGACCTTAACCTCATATTCATGGTTCATTGATCAATGATCAGTTTTCCTGGTTTAGTTTGTTTCTTATATTTGCAATAGGTAGCATATAGACTACATGTATATTTAAAGCATATTTGGTATATGGAATGATTGTAAGGTGAACATGTATTTCAAGTTTGGTTTATCTGACTTTTGACCTCATTTAATTGGATTATGTTATGTTTATGTGATAGTTGTAGTAGAGCTTAATAATTAGAACCATCAACATAATATCAATGTTTAGTAAAGAAGAAGAGACATTTCAATGTGCACTCTTGTATTTATTAGTTGTTATTGGCTTTGAACTAGCTGTCAGTAACTGCTAGTACTCTGAGATCTGTACTTAGTGTCTTTTTGGTTGTTGGGATGTACAAGTACACTGCCATGTTTACTTTATGTTTTTATACGCCCATTTGCGGGACGTCACATATTATGGTATACCGTTGTCCGTCTGTCCATCCGTCGTCAACATGTCGGACATTAACTCAAAAACGCTTTACCCAATTTGCATAAAACTTTGGTGATATGTTTATATCTATTGAAGTGAGCTCCCTTTCAATTTTTATAAATTTTAGATTTTATGTTTCTGAGTTATGGGGTTTTATTCATTAAAAAAAGGGGGATTTTCCAGTTTTCGGACAATATAAACTTAAGAATGCTTTCACCAACTTGCAAGAAATTATGGTGAATTGTTTATATCTATTGACATGAGCTCCCTTCCGATTTTTATATTTTTAAGATTTTACGTTTCCAAGTTGCAGGGTTTTATTCATAAAAAAAAGAGTGATTTTCCAGTTTTCGGACAAATAATCAAAAATGCTTTCAGTAGTTCTTAGGAAACTTGGTGAATTGTTTATATCTATTGGTGTAAGCTTTGTTTAGAATTTTATAAATTTCACATTTTACATTTCTGAGTTATTGGGTTTTATTCATTAAAAAAGGAGGGATTTTCCAGTTTTGGGACAATAACTCAAAAATGCTGTCAGCAATTCTCATGAAACTTTGGTGAATTGTTTATATCTATTGATGAAAGCTCCTTTACATTTTAATAAATTTCTAATATGACATTGAGAATTAATTGAACTTTAATTGTTTATAGTCTGACAACAGATTTACTAAGTATTGCGCAACACTACAGTGTATTGCACAACAGCAAGAAATCTTTAATTGAATATAAATTCAATTCATATAACCAATTTCAAGTCCTTTGACTACATTTATTCAGAAACCTATAATATGTCCAATTTTTAATACACTTCAAATTCAGACATGTATCAAGCTTGAATATTGTGTTCATTTTTGCCCCAACTGTTCAGGGTTGGACCTATGCAGGCATATCCAGCTGCGCTCAGCGAAGCAGTTTATTGTTAGAAGTATTTCTATTTGTACCCATCTAATGAATTCAGCCTTTTTTTCATGATTTTATAGTTTGTTCTTATATTGTACTGTTACACCACCGTCTAAGGTCAGGGGAGGGTGGGATCCCACTTACATGTTTAACCTTGCCACATTCTGTATGTATGTGCCTATTCAAAGTCAGGAGCCTGTAATTCAGTGGTTGTTGTTTGTTGCTGTGTTACATATTCGTATTTTTTCATTCATTCGTTTGTAGATTTATTAGGCATTGAGTTTTCTGGTTTGATTTGTCTTACAATTGTCATTTCAGGGTCTTTTATATTTGACTATGCGGTATGGGCTTTGCTCATTGTTGAAGGCCGTACAGTGGCATATAGTTGTTAATTTTTATATAGTATAACAGATTACTATAATTATGATAATTTGAATTTTATTGACTTTATTTTTAAGGTGAACATGAATGAAGCTAGAAATATTAAAATTAAAGGCCTGTTTCTCAAAAATACTATATGAATATTTAAATTAAAAGGGAGGGGGGGGGGGGGTATGTTTATTTCTTACAAAAGTATTCTGATTCCAAATTTGATGAAGAAAAAAATATTGTCAAGCAGAACAAAAATTTTGAATCCAGATTTATCCATACCTTAAATTTAGAAAAAATAATAAAAATAATTAAATTGTTATTGTCGAAAAAAATATACCCCCCCTCCCCCCAACCCACCACTTTTGAAGTGACATGGTTACTCCCCTAGTGTAACCAGAAAAAGTAACTGTTATACTGTTGGGCTGTTTTTAGCTCTTTGATTGGGTTGTTGTCTCTTTCACACATTCTCTGTATCATTCCCAATTTCATGACAATTTGCTTTTGTGTCATTGATATAAATGATCTGTGAAGTATGATTTCTCAAGAGGTTGTGGGTTTGTCTTTGATCTCATTTTGATTTTTACTGCATACTTGAAAAATTGATTTTGCAGCTTTAAATTTAATCATGTTGCACAGCATTAATGATTAGGGTTCAAGACTGGACTGGTTGACATTGAGTCAGCTAAATGTATGTGTATAAGGTAGGTTTAAAATTTTCAAGTTCTGATTGATAGGGATGGACATAGTCATAGGCATAGGTAAAGGAACAGAGATTCAGGGACTTACTGTCCAGCACTCTGTTGTCACTGATTTGGAGAGAGAAAAACCTGCACCATTTGTGCAATTCTACTATGCATTTAAACACTTATGTTCAGTAATATTAACATGGACAGTCGACCTTCGGGCTTCCCATGGATAGAAGCAAGTGCCTGTGTTATGAACAGTTCCCAGATTATTTGTCTGCTTTTTTTTTTTATTTGTTTTGTGTTTAAATTTCGTATTTCTTTTTATTTCTTTTGTTTAAAAGTATTTACCTGTAGGTTTCTGACTACATTTTTGTTTTTAGGTGGCATTTTTAGTTTGGAATAATTATAGTTCGATAAATTCAGTAATATTTATATTTTCTTCTTTGTTTATGGTAGTCTATCGTCTGCTATAGAATATTTCTCTGGACTTACCTTATAAATGATGAAAAGATCCGAGTGGCCCCGAAAAATATGCAAATTGCCTGAACGTGAAACTCCACGACAACACTTCCGGTAATAACAATGTCGGATTCCACCATTGAAAACAATCTAGGATAATGTGAAGGTCAGGATTATACAGTGCAAACACAATAAAAGGTAGGACAGTTGTGGATATTTGGAAAGGATTTTTATTCCGCTTATTGAAAAACGTCATCTCGAGTGAACGCGGCTGATATTTAAAAAAATTTATACAAAAAACACGGTGCCAATTTTACATGACGGCGACTATAGTAATGACCTCCCCACCCCCAAACTGCACCAACACTAGTCCAAATAATTATGCCGTCTTGCAAGGCTATTTTTATTTTTTTTCTGTGACGCCTTCGTCGTAGGAAGGCGTCACAGAAAAAAATTAAAATAGCCTTTCAAGACGTCATAATTATTTGGACTACACCAACCCCCTCAACTGATAAATAATGACTGCGCTGAAATTTTGCTTTGCATTGGCAAAACATCTCATTAAATCTAATGACAGCTGTTAATCAATAATCAAATGATACTCTTTTAAATACATTTGTGATCTTGTTGTATATTCTGTTGGATATTGAAGAAAATATCTACACAATTCCTTTTTTTTACCTAAACGGGGGTTTGACCAACAGTCCCCGGAAACCATTCAAGGGAAGCAACTTAGTCTGCAGACGATGTTAGGGAAAATATCAAAATTGTAAAAAAATATAAATTAAAAGTTGGTATTTTTTAACTTAATGAAATTATATGAGTCGACATGAAATTTAAAGAGACACAATTATATATAAATCTTCATGTTTATCAATATGTCTTGTTTCTTAATTGTAAAATAAATTTTATTGAAAAGCTAAAACGAAAAAATATTGTTCTTCCATTTATTCAGAAATTTGCAATTTACCGTTGCGACACTTCCGGAACATGTGTTTTCGCGCTTCCGTCACTCCATTGACGCATGAATCCATGAATCGGTAATTTCCCCAGCACTCCTGTCAACAAAGAGGTAAGAGAAACATATGAATGAAACATATACAACGTATAATAATTTATGAAATACATATTTATATGGTTTACGACTAAGATGGAGAGACTTTAAAGCTTTTCTTAGAAGTTATACAATTTGAATCTTTTAACTTTACTGTTTTCAGCATGTGGACCACATTTGAACTCCCATCCATACATTTGAATCAGATACTTTACTCTGCCTCATGATGAAAATAATGATGAGACTCTTTCAAATTCACAGCGACGTTATAGTTGACATTTTTTTAATTGGAAAAAAGGGGGGTGGCAAGGCTTTATTACAAATTCAGTGTTTCAGAATCTTAGTGCCTTCTGGGTAATATTTTCAAAAGCGTACACCAAAACGTTGTGATCGGTTTAAAATGTACTAAATAATAGAAATTAAACCAATGACGTACCGTTATCTTAAAATTATTTGATGTACGAATAATGAGATTACCGATATTCCTTTAGATTCTGAAAAGGCGAATTGGTGATAGATAAAAATAAAACCAATAGACATTATACAATAATACAATGCTATAATTAGTTTATTTTGCTTCAGCGATAAAGACGCTCTTGAGCGGTAGTATTTTCTTAAATACCATGAGAACTTTCAATGAATTATAATTTATTTTGAATGTATAAAATGCCAAAGAACTAACCCTAGTGAGCTTATGCCAAATACATAACCCCTAACAAATATACAACTCCATGTGAACACCATATTCAAATTACCTTATGGTATGCTCTTAGTATTCTAAAAATAAGATGATGTGGTCTTGATCTTGATAGGAATACGGTGATACATCCAAGGATATTAATACACAGCGCGTGCGTCAAGTAATTTACTTAAGTGGGGCCCCCCTTACAATTTCACTAAAGGTTTAAGCTGGTTCTTCTGCTGTCTGAATTTTGATGAAGATATCCGGTGGTAGTTGGTTCCAGTCTTTAATGGTATTTGGAATGAAACTGTATTTTAATGTGTCTGTTTTTGTTTGAAGTCTAAGGAAATGTTGGCTGTGCATGTTCTTGGTTGTCCTTGATGGTTTTTTCAGTTGGTCAGAAGGTAAGTGGTATGATTGCCAATGAGATAACTCTCTACCAGAGACCAAATGACATAGAAGTTAACAACTACAGTATATGTCACTGTACAGCCTTCAACAATGAGCAAAACCCATACCGCATAGTAAGCTATAAAAGGCCCTGAAAAGATCAAATGTAAAACAATCCAAATGAATAAACTAACAGTCTTCACACTTAACCACAAGTCCTACGACCCAGGCTTGTAAAATTCTTCTCTACAAGCCAACAGAATCCAACTAAAATTTTCAAAAAATTGAGCTTCAGGCTTGTGGACTCAAAACTTTATTGTGAAGGCTGAACTAACAACCTGATTTATGTTCAAAACAATAAACAAAAAACAAATATGATACACAGAAACATACAACAACCACTGAATTACAAGCTCCTGTTAATTCACTTAAAATTGAAAATAGGTAAGGTTGACCTTTGATGAATTTTAATATTATTTTTATGTTCCTAGTGGTCAGATAGCTCCTAATGTTTGCTACATATTTGTACACCCCTGGCTTTGAAACGTTCCTTTTGAAGGTATACCCAGGAAACTGAAAGCGCCTCGGATATTTCACACATATAAAGTGTTATTTTCATTTAAGAAAGATTCAGATTGGTTGTACATTTGACAGTTGAATTATTACACTAAAGCATTTTCCAATATTTATGTTGCTGTAGACTTCTACAGAACAGCACTAGTTGATGTAAGTACAGACAGTAATGCCAATATTGTTGTGTATATTTCTACTCAGTCATATATATTTTCATAGTTAAATCATAAAGATGCCTTCTGATGCAAAAAAAAAGAGAGAACAAAAGAAAAAGGATGCTGCAAAAGGCAAAAACAAAAAGAACCCAAAAGAAAATGGTGCAGCTGAATTAAATGGAGATACAGAAGTAAATGGATACACAAATGGAGTAACAGCAAATGGACATGCAGGTATGATTTGTCTGATATAATCCTTTACTGCTTTTAATGATAAATTGTTGTTCCTCCCATGGTCAAAAGAAATTACCATTTTCGTGTAAAACTTTAAGGTGGTACTAAAGACCTAAGACAAATAAAATTTAAAATAGGTACATGTATTCTTTAGAGGTCACCACACCTCAAAAAGATAGGGGAGAAGTGATTCTGGCTGGCATATAAACAGAGAGAAGGCTTGATGTGGTATGGAGACTTCAAGGGAAGTGAATGAGTAAAGGAGCATGTGATTTAAACATTCATGTCGTGTGAATCCTTAAATCAACTAAATAGGTTTTTTTATCAAACTGCAATTTGATAGAGAAGTTGCAGAATCACATTAAAAGGCGTCATAGGGCTTTTAAAATTTCTCCTGGAGGTGTTTTTTAGGGGGGAAAGGGTGAAATTATTGCTTGCTTTGTCTGTTGTGAGCTCTAATGCTGATTAAAAGGGTCACACCAATTTTGAAAATATACATCAATAATTACATGTTTGTAGTTCTCATCAGGTTCAAGATGAATATATGATAAAATGACTGCATCTAGATACATGAAAGTGTATTATTAGATAACTTATTTTTGTTGTGTTGTATGTAAATTTTTCTACTATTTTTATGAAATTTAATAGTTAATGAAATTGAAGAGGAACTGGAAGCCATGACATTATTGGCGAAACACAGAGCTTGTACAGGAGTGTTGGCTTCCCATCCTGACAGTCGTGATGTCCACATACATAACTTGTCCATTACTTTCCACGGTGTGGTATTGCTGGATGATACCAAGCTTGAGTTAAACGTTGGAAGAAGATATGGTCTTATAGGTCTTAATGGTTGTGGTATGTAATAATATATAAAGATATAATATTGAACTTGTGGTCTGGTGTGTCTTAATCTTTTTTGTATTAATAGACTTTCTATTATACTTGAACAAATTTGCATATTTTTCAGGAAAAGTTGTTGCTCAAACTGAAAGAGAGACACTTTAAATTGTACAGACTGTTTTCACATTATGAACTTCCTCTAAAAGGCATAAACTTTCTACACCTTTAAAGCTTTTTTGTATACATGTACAGTGTATTTGAAATTCTCCAAATAGTAGAACATTCAGGAAGTATGTGATGACACAAGTATTCATTGAAGTAAAATTTTGAATTCATGTTATGATTTATATGTACATTTGTATAAAAGACTTGTGTAGTCTGCAAATTCTACCCTTCCAGATCCCTTTGTATTCATTGTAATTAATAATTACTGGTAATTACAATCTGATTAAAATACAGATCCTGTGTCGGAGCTTTGCTTACCAAGATCTGACAACACTACGTTTTACTTTCATTACATCAGCCAATGATATGTCAGTCTTCAAATTTTTGAAGGTGTTTATTAATCTGACAAAACCAGAGGATCCCTAAAGGTCTTTAAAACAGAAAGTAGAACTGGTGGAGCGTTTTCAGATCCTTGTAAGCAAAGCTTGGACACAGGATCTGTATTTTAATCAGATTGCGGTAATTTACAAATTCTGGCTGCTTTCCAATGCAGGTCTAATGTTATTCTTATTCCTGATTATCTCTCCATCCACTTATGTATAACCTCGGTATGGAGTATGTAATAAGTGGTTATTCTAGGATTTATCTTCAATTGTATAACAACATTGTCTTTTAACATGTTTAAGAACATATCCACACAAAATCTAACAAATGCTGTCATAAAATGACCAACATTGTCACTGCACAATATAGGAATATTACAAACCTTCAGACCACTGGGGGTAGGAAACATCAAGATAAAATGATTTACATTGTCACTGCACAATATAGGAATATTACAAACCTTCAGATCACTGGGGGTAGGAAACATCAAGATAAAATGATTTACATTGTCACTGCACAATATAGGAATATTACAAACCTTCAGATCACTGGGGGTAGGAAACATCAAGATAAAATGATTTACATTGTCACTGCACAATATAGGAATATTACAAACCTTCAGATCACTGGGGGTAGGAAACATCAAGATAAAATGATTTACATTGTCACTGCACAATATAGGAATATTACAAACCTTCAGACGACAGGGGTAACATCAAGATAAAATGACCAACATTGTCACTCCACAATATAGGAATATTACAAACCTTCAGACCAAGGGGGGTAACATCAAGATAAAATTACCAACATTGTCAGTGCACAATATAGGAATATAACAAACCTTCAGACCACTTGGGGTACCATCAAGATCAAATAATGTTAGATAATTTGGCAGGAATAATGTATGGACAAAAAGCTCATGCATAACCAGGACAATACCTCCATTTGAATCACTGCCACAAATACATTTAAATTTTGAAAAATGTTAAACCTGTATTAAGAAAAGTAAGTTTAAAATGTTTTATTTTCAACAGTTCTTATTTCATATAAATAAGACATAATCTTCCTACTACAATGAAGGTAATCGGGTAAAAGACCTAATATTTTATTATGTTGCTTATATTCTGTAAAACTAACAAATGACAGTTTTGAAATTACTTCAATTGTGCAGGGTTATAAATAGATTTTATTATTATAGGTAAATCATCCTTACTGTCAGCCATAGAAAATTGTGAAATACCTATACCAGATCATATTGATATCTTTCACCTTCGTAGAGAGATGGCACCTAGTGAAAAAACAGCATTACAAGCTGTTTGTGATGTCGATAAAGAGAGAATACGTCTAGAACACGAGAGCGAAGTTCTAGCAACTAAAGATGATCAAGGTATATATTATATTGTTCTGTCAAGGGTGTAGTACCACTGCATTTTTTGCATCATCATATTTCACCACAGCATTATCAGAACGTACTGCAACACTTGATTTTTATGCCCCCACCGTCACCTGAGGTGGCATTAAGTGTTACCCTTGTCCGTCCGTACGTATGTCACGAAATTGGTTTCCGTTCTATAACATTAGTTTGCATCAACCAATTGTTATGAAACTTATACACAATGCATCATCACATTTCACCACAGCATTATCAGAACGTACTGCAACACTTGATTTATAAACTAATTGTACCGACTGAAGTAGACACTTAAGTGTATAAATCATGTAAAAAATCTTTCGTCAGATGTACTTTGAATTTTAGGCTGAAATTAGCCCTTACCGGACCTTCTCCTTTCCTACACTTACCTGTGGTGGTTGAATACATACGTAGTCTGCTGCCTAATACTAGTGTTTCGTACTAACAGACTGGTAATTTTGTGTTATGAATAGCAAGACACTAGTGTTTTGTACTAACAGACTCGTAATTTTGTGTTATGAATAGCCAGACAAGCAAGAACAAAAAAAGAATTTGTCTAGTAATTTTCCCCCTAGGAAATTCCCTGTGATAAATGAATCTTCTTTAAAAATAGCAACCAATCAGAATGGTATTCAATTGCTTTATAATATCTTATTTGGAAAGGAATTGATTATCTCGACTTATGGAGTATTGGCAATTATGAAATGTGAATACCTTAAACATTGCTGTCTAAAAAATAAATATGTGGTTCTGGTTTTGGCCTAAGAGGATTATGTAAGACTCAGGCCTGTCCTTGTGCTTGTCTAATTAATGAAATGTAAATACCTGGCCTGGGTACTTTAAACATTGCTGCCTATATGTGGTTCTAGTTTTGGCCTAAGAGGATTATGTAAGACTCTGGCCAGTCTTTCTGCTTGTCTAGCTAATGAAATGTAAATACCTGGCCTGGGTACTTTAAACATTGCTGCCTATATATGGTTCTAGTTTTGGCATAAGAGGATTATGTAAGACTCTGGCCAGTCTTTCTGCTTTTCTAGCTAATGAAATGTTAATACCTGGCCTGGTTACTTTAAACATTGCTGCCTATATGTGGTTCTAGTTTTGGCCTAAGAGGATTATGTAAGACTCTGGCCAGTCCTTGTGCTTGTCTAGTTAATGAAATGTAAATACCTGACCTGGGTACTTTAAACATTGCTGCCTATATGTGGTTCTAGTTTTGGCATAGTAGGATTATGTAAGACTCAGGCCAGTCCTTCTGCTTGTCTAGCTAATGAAGTATAAATACCTGGCCTGGGTATTTTTAACATTGCTGCCTATATGTGGTTCTAGTTTTAGCATAAGAGGATTATGTAAGACTCCTGAAGGCCAGTCCTTCTGCTTGTCTAGCTAATGAAATATCAGTATTAAAAGTCTGAGGTGGTAAGGTTTATCAGAAAATTTCAACAACTGACCCTGAACAATTTTTGTCATGTGGTCTGCATGATATGTTTAAATTAAATTTGATCATTTGCGTTCTATGCTCTCAAGCTTTTTATACGACCGCAAAATTGGAATTTTACCATAAGGTTCAATACCACAAAAGAAAGGTTGGGATTGATTTTGGGGGTTATGGTACCAACAGTTAAGGAATTGGGGGCCAAAAATAAGCATTTTTGTAACTTCCAGACATAACTTGTGTGTTAGTGTATGGATCTCTCTGAAATTGTACCACAATGTTCCATATCACAAAGGGAATGCTGGGATTGATTTTGGGGGTAATTGCCTCAAAATTTTAGGAATTAGGGGCAAAAAACAAGCATTTTTCTAGTTTCAGGACAATAACTTGTGTGCAAGTGTATGGATCTTTATGAAATTGTACTACAAGGTTCCATATCACAAAGGGAAAGCTGGGTTTGAGTTTGGGGGTAATTGCCCTAAACATTTAGGAATTTGGGGCAAAAAAGGGGCAAAAAAACAAGCATTTTTCTAGTTTCCAGACAATAACTTGTGTTCAAGTGTATGATCTCTCTGAAATTGTACTGCAAGGTACCATACCTCAAAGGGAAGGCTGGGATTGAGTTTGGGGGTGATGAATCATAAGGGGGTTCAAAAAATTTGGGGGAGGGATTTTTTTTTCTTCCTTTTTTTCCTTTTTTTTTTCTTAAAATTTTCCATTTTAAATTGGTTATTTCTGATTTATATATAAAAGCAAATAATAATGATATGGTTTGAATAGGTAAATTAAAAATTTATAAGTTCTTAGACCACATTCATTCTGTGTCAGAAACCTATGCTGTGTCAAATATTTAATCACAATCCAAATTCAGTGTATATCAAGCTTGAATGTTGTGTCCATACTTGCCCCAACTGTTCAGGGTTCGACCTCTGCGGTCGTATCAAGCAGCGCCCAGCGGAGCATTTTATTTTATTTCTCTCTGTTTTGAAAAATGAATGCAAATTATTCATTACATCAATGCATTTTGTTTTTGATCAACTTTTTTCTTGTATATTAATTACCACATGGATGTTGCAGTTCTTAGAATCTCATGTCAGATTACTGGGTGTCAATTAAGCAATGATGTTTATTTTTAAAATCTCATGTCATATTACGGGATATATATATGATATTTATTTTTAGAATCCCATGACAGATTACTGAATATCAATGAATCGAATGATGTTTATTTATTTTAGAATCTCATGACAGATTACTGGATATCAATGAATCGAATGATGTTTATTTATTTTAGAATCCCATGACAGATTACTGAATATCAATGAATCGAATGATGTTTATTTATTTTAGAATCCCATGACAGATTACTGGATATCAATGAATCGAATGATGTTTATTTATTTTAGAATCTCATGACAGATTACTGGATATCAATGAATCAAATGATGTTTATTTATTTTAGAATCTCATGACAGATTACTGGATATCTATGAGCGATTAGATGATATGGATGCTGACAAAGCTGCAGTGAGTGCAGCTTTCATTCTTCATGGTCTTGGTTTTACTAAAGAAATGCAGCAGAAGAAAGTGAAGGATTTCTCTGGAGGATGGAGAATGAGAATCAGTTTAGCAAGGGCATTGTTTATCAGACCATCACTGTTACTGTTAGATGAACCAACAAATCATTTAGATCTTAATGCTTGTGTATGGTTGGAAAATGAACTGAGCAAGTAAGATTTAATGTTTAATACTAAAGTCAATTTTAAACTGGTTAATAATATGGTAACATAAAAGGATTAATTATGTTATTAAAGAAGTATTGCTAGATTTTATATTTTTCTACTTTTGTTTTAAAACTTCGTGAGAGTGAAGTTTATTTTGAATAATTACATGACAAAAATGTAAGAACAAGAATCTTAAAACAATAATGTTATGAAACAATGCAATCAACTTTCTACCTCAAGAATTGTGTCCTGTATTCTTGTAAATGGAAATTTAACTAGCTATAATATCCAACACTGCAGTGCTATTCCTGAATCCATTACATTTATCAATATTATCAATATATACCCATGGTCTTCACTAAAGACATCATGTGAGTTTGCCTGTTGATGTAACTAAATAAAAAGGTCAATGTGATAAAGAAATATATGAATTATATAAACCTAAAAAAAAAATTTTGGCAGTGTCAGAAAAATGATGACATAAAAGGCCGAGTTAGAGTGCTTGAGTTCTCTGTTAGCAGGTTGAATTCAGCATTATGTTCAAAACTCATGAAGCGTATTTTGTTTCTGATTTCTGACCAATATTTTTTTAAATATTGAACCATCTTAAACATTTTTCCAATCCCATTGTTAACCTCTTTTACATTTGTAACAATCAAGCCAGTCATTGAAACTACAAATGTACTGGAAGTCCAAGCACAAGACATTCTGTCACAAATGATTAAATCATACATGGATACAGTTTCTTTTAACTGCAGTGTATCATTTGATGTATGGAACATCAGTGAACTGAAATTTGTGGTCAGTGTTCCAGCTAGGTCGTTTTCACAGGGCAGTCCGCCCTCCCTTTCCAGAGTGCCGCCCTGTGCCCTTTTTAAGCAGCCCTGCCCTTTTTCGCAAGTCCATGCCTTTGTTGCCGTAATATTTTGATGAAAATACAATTGTTCTACCTGTCTTCATATTTATGACAAGTTTATGACCCTCAGCTAATTAACATTAACAGCACAGGTGTAATAAGTTGTGATTACAGATAGTCTGCTTATAGACATCGGATGGGTCATTAATCCGTTAATTAAACTTCATAATTGACCATTGTAATAATTTTTCTCATTAAATTTCGGTCAGTCAGCATTTCAATTTCAATATTTCTCAAAAGATGACAATTTGCGTTTGATGTATCCGTAGATCGTCTGTTGTTTATATGTCAAAGATTTTTTTTTAAATTGATCTTTTAAACTAGTTTTAATCCAGAAGAAAGTAAAAACAATGCTTGACTGTACCTTTCATTGAATATCTATATCCAAATTAAATTAATTTATAAAGCTGTAATCCATGATCACAAATTGACTGCTTTGTTTACATTTGTTGAAAGCCATGTGCTTTTTTGGAGGGAAAATTCGGAAAAACCCTTTAACAAGAAACAGTTACATTTCATTGTTATTTATAGACAGTAAGATTTTCATTTTGATTAACTGCTAAGATTATTTCATTAAAAATGAATACTTTCTTGGGGTGAAACTGATAATACTTTAATACTCTACATCTAGGGGTGTGTAAAATGGAAAAGTGGGGGGGGGGGATTTTTTATATATTTTTATATATAATATTACAAATATAAGTTTAACAGTCTGAAAAGACATCGTTAAATGGATTTTAACTCTGAAAAACTCAATGTGGTTTATTATAATTCATTTATTATTTCTTTCATAATCAGAAACACTGGGCTACATGTATTAGTCATTTCAAACATATATTATTGCCTTTATAAGAACATTCAAGACTATTAATAAGTATGTACCTGTAGTAAAAATACCCTGGTAGGGCCTTAAAATTTCTACTGGGCCCTTGGAAAAAAGTTTTGGGATCCAGGTTGGCCATGTAAGGTATTGTTCAGAACAGTTCCTGACTGTATTGCAGATCTAGTGTAGTATTTTAACCGACATACGAAATTCCGCTGCGCTCTGCATTGCAACTTAACCATAGACCTACCATGCATCAAAAATGTTCTAGGGAAGACTCAACTAGTAATATATGTCCTTGCATGGTCCCTTTAATAAGTACTGTTACCCAAAATAAGGTTGATTTTCATTAAGCTCAAAAGTGACTAAACCCCCTCAAAACTCCTAGCTGAAACCCCTGCAGTTAACATAAGACAATGTTTGACATGCCCTTTTTGAAATATCAATCATCGTGCTAAAGTGCCCTTTTCATGATTGGCTCCCTGGCCTTTTGAAATCCTAGCTGGAACACTGGTGGTGTACTAGAAAATGTCCAAACAAATAAATTTGGAACTTCTCATTCTTTTAACGTGGAGCTTATAACCCAAATTGAATATCCCTATTCAATTTGTAATTTATATTCAACTTTTGATTTCCAGTTTATGTTTCTTTTCTCAAAATCGAAAGTAGCTTTGTTGATTCCAGAGGAATTTGCAGTTTTAGTTCATTAAAATCATTTTGATTTTTGACTTGCATTCCTTAACTTGTTTCAAAAGCAGTTAGGACATTTCATGTAGCAATAGGTAAACTATATATGGTGAATTGAATGATTGTAAAGTGTACATGTCTGACTGTCAGGTTTCATCTGACCTTGATCTCATTTTCATGGTTCATTAGTCAATGTTAGATTTTTGTTTAGTTATCAAAAGTGTTGTCATCCTGCAAAGTTCTCGAACTATAGAAAATGAATGTAAGTGTTGTATTATTAAAGTCTTTCATAGATAAAACCATGGAGTACCATTTTATGCTAATATTTAAAATTTTGTATAATCATCATATTGGTACACACAGATATATATATGATCTTTATATTTATTCCAGTTACAAAAGAATACTAGTTATGGTGTCACATTCTCAAGATTTCCTGAATGGAGTTTGTACAAACATTATACACATGCAGAATAACAAACTAAGATATTTTGGTGTAAGTTTGTATAAATATATACACATGCAGAATCACAAACTTAGATATTTTGAAATACGTTTACACAAACATTATACACAAGCAGAATCACAACCTTAGAAATTTTGGCGTAGTTTGTACAAACATTATACACATGCTGAATCACAAACTTTGATATTTTGATGTACCTTTGTACAAATATTATACACATGCAAAATCACAACCTTAGATATTTTGGCGTATGTTTGTACAAACATACACATGCTGAATCACAAGCTTCCATGTTCATTTGTACAAACATTATACACATGCTGAATCACAAACTTTGGTGTACGTTTGTACAAACATTATACACATGCTGAATCACAAGCTTCGGTGTACGTTTGTACAAACATTATACACATGCTGAATCACAACCTTAGATATTTTGGCGTATGTTTGTACAAACATTATACACATGCTGAATCACAAGCTTCAGTGTACGTTTGTACAAACATTATACACATGCTGAATCACAAACTTCGATATTTTGGCATACGTTTGTACAAACATTATACACATGCTGAATCCCAAACTTTGATATTTTGGCGTACGTTTGTACAAACATTATACACATACTGAATCACAATCTTAGATATTTTGGTGTATTTTTGTACAAATAATATACACATGCAGAATGAGAAGTAGCAGAAGATACAACTATTTAAAAAAAAATATTTCTATGTGATTACTATTTAGATGATATGACTTTTGACCTTGAAATGTTTGTTTGCTTTCAGGGTAACTATGACACCTTTATGCAAACAAGGATGGAATTAGAAGAAAATCAAATGAAAAAATATAAATGGGAACAGGATCAAATATCACATATGAAGGTAAAGTATGGAGCTGTTTTATCATGTAGAAGTAAACAGGCAAAGATATCAACTCAGAACTCCTAAATGGAATTCTCATGGCAGCATGTATACTTTAAGTGCAGAATTTCATCCCTGTTGGCACTGGTTGACAATAATTGCATTATAACAATCTTTGTCTTGTTTAATTCCAAAGTTATTGTCTGTCATACTATAATTTAGTATTTAGATATTAGCAATTAACTTTGTACGGTTAATTTAAGATTATTGTTGATGCAGATCATTTATAGCTATATGAACTAGCAAGTCTAGACATCTTCAGGAAGTAGAATGAATTATTTCTTTTTTAGAACTATATTGCAAGATTTGGACATGGTAGTGCAAAGTTAGCCAGACAAGCCCAGAGTAAAGAGAAAACCCTGAAGAAAATGGTGGATAGTGGACTGACAGAGAAAGTTACTCAAGATAAAGTAAGACAACATTGGCTAGTGTAACCGCTATGTCTTTATCATTCTTTAGCTTAAGTTGCCTCAGCGGTCTTATGGTAGCCTGCTCATTTGTATGTGGGGGTAGTAGGTTTTATCTATGGCCTGGTCACACCAAATACTTGGAAATTAGTATTTGCTGTTTTCTTGGCGTAATAGCAAAATCTGCTTGACTTGGAGTCGGAATAATGTGTCAATTTAGGGTACCATGTCTTCAGCAGACTGTTACCTTGTGAACTAGTGTGTTAAAAAGCTGGCTTAGCATGTGGGTCTGTTAAAAAGCAGTTTCATTTTCATATCTCATTAACATGTTTTCATCCTGATATGCATGTAATATTTGCCACTGGGCATTTAACACCATTCCATCATCATTTTAAATTTAAGGTGGTACCAAACACCTTGACTAAAATTAATTTGGCTCATTTAATTTTCATAAAATTTTGACAAAATATTTACTTTTGACCCTTTGACAAAAATATAAAAATTTCAAAAAACTTGAACCACACACTTTATCGGAAAAATTTCATTGGATATATAGCAGTTTGACAAACACTAATTTTGATCATTGAGAAGCTTAATATTTCCTTAACAATAGAACGTGATTAAAACGTTCAGCTGATTTTTACAGAGCTATATCCCTGTAGTGTTATGTACCACCTTAAGATGCTACTATAGTTTATATCTTTCAAAGAATAACTTTTGAAGCTGAATTAAAAATCAACTAGTAAAATCTGAATTTCATATTGATGAAGATGAATACTCATCTGTTCATTACTGTTTATACGACCGCAAAAAAATTTTGAGGTCGTATATTGGTATGGCGTTGTCGTCGTCGTCGTCCGAATACACAATGGTTTTCGCACTCTAACTTTAGTTTAAGTGAATGGATCTCTATGAAATTTTACCATAAGGTTCAATACCACAATAGGAAGGTGGGGATTGATTTTGGGGGTTATGGTACCAACAGTTAAGGAATTAGGGGCCAAAAAGGGGCCGAAAATAAGCATTTTTGTAACTTCCAGACATAACTTGTGTGTTAGCATATGGATCTCTTTGACATTGTACCACAAGATTCCATATCACAAAGGGTCAATGCTGGGATTGATTTTGGGGTTAATTGCCTCAAAATTTTAGGAATAAGGGGCAAAAAGGGGGCAAAAAACAAGCATTTTTCTAGTTTCATGACAATAACTTGTGTGTAAGTGTATGGATCTTTCTGAAATTTTACTACAAGGTTTCATTTCATAAAGGGAAAGCTGGAATTGAGTGTTGTGGTAATTGCCCAAAACGTTTAGTAATGAGGGGTCTAAAAAGGGGTTTAAAATAAGCATTTTTTAGTTTCTAGACAATAACTTGTGTTCAAGTGTATGGATCTCTCTAAAATTGTATTACAAGGTACCATACCACAAAGGCAAGGCTGTTATTGAGCTTGGTTTGGGGGGAAAGGGGGGTGGGGGTGATGAATCATAAGGGGGGCGGGGGTCAAAAAAGGGGTAATTTTTTTTTTTCCTTTTTTTTTTGTTTAAAATTTACATTTTAAGTTAGTTATTTTTTATCACGAAGAGAAAGTAGGAATTGAGTTTTGGGGTTAATTGCTCAAACATTTATGAATAAGGGGCCAAATATTGGTCAAAAATAAGGATTTTTTTAGTTTGCAACAAAAACTTGTGTTCAAGTGTATGGATCTCTGTGAAATTGTATTGCAATGTACCATACCACAAATTGAAGGTTGTGATTGAGGTGGGGAATGATGAATCAAAAGGGGGTTGAAAAAATGTGTGGGAGGTAGGATTTTTTTTTTTCCTTTTTTTTTCTTTAAAATTTTCCATTTAAAGATGGTTGTTTCAGATTTATATATGAAAGAAAATAATAATGATACAGTTATATATCATGAGGAATTGAAATTTAAAATTATGTATATTGGAAATTTAAGTTACATTGGAAAGTAATAATTGGCTTGGGGGGGGAGGGGGGTGGTTATGGCTCTAATGTTTAAGGAATAAGGGGAAAAAAGGTTAAAAAACAAGGGTTTCCATTTTAATAGACAAATAATTGAGTAAAGAACATTATTTAAAAGCAGTGTAAGGTTGGTAATTCAAACTCATTTAAATATCTCATCTACACTGCTTTTAAATTATGTAAATTGGAAATTTGCCAATAACTTTATTGTTAATAAATGCATTGGAAATTTGCCAACAATTTTAGTGTAATAAACTTCATTGGAAATTTGCCAATATAAAATTTTGCTGATGAAGGTTTTTTGTTTACCTTTAGCCTTGACTATGAAGTCATTTTCTATTTTTATAGCCTTATGATGTAGTTGAATTATTTAATACTTTTATGATGTGTTTAAATGGGGTTTTATCATGTTTATGGTTGCAAATTTATTGTTTTAGTATAATAAACTCCATTTAAAATTTGCCAATAAAAAAAATTTTTGTTTATTTTTAGCTATGATTATGATGTCATTTTCTATTTTACTTTTATGGTTGCAAAGAAATTTTTATTTTTAGATATTACTGTTAAATGATGCTGATTAAGGTTTTTGCTATGTTTAGCCATGACTATGATGTCATTTTCTATTTTAATATCTGTTATGATGTATTTAAATGGGCTTTTATGGTTACAAAGGAATTTTATTTTTAGATATTACTATAAAATGTTGCTGATGCTGATTAAGGATTTTGTTTATTTTTAGCCATGACTATGATGTCATTTTCTATTTTAATACCTTTATGATGTAATTTCCATTTTTAGATATTACTGTTAAATGATGCTGATTAAGGGTTTTTAGCTATGTTTAGCCATGACTATGATGTCATTTTCTATTTTAATATCTTTATGATGTATTTAAATGAGCTTTTATGGTTACAAAGGAATTTTATTTTTAGATATTACTTTAAATGTTGCTGATTAAGGATTTTTGTTTATTTTTAGCCATGACTATGATGTCACTTTCTATTTTAATACCTTTATGATGTATTTAAATGGGCTCCCTTTTATTTAGATTTTTGATTATTTATACATGTTACCAAATTGGTCCACATTGAACAAAAACGGTCCAAATTTCAACTTTATTACATTACATCAAACATTGAATTCTACATATTCTTTGATATATTGAAATTAACAAACAATTTAGTTTATGGATATTCCACCATAATAGGTAAATTAAATTTTTTCCAGTTTTTACACCACATTCATCCTGTGTCAGAAACCTATGCTGTGTCAAATATTTAATGACAATCCAAAGTCATAGCTGTATCAAGCTTGAATTTTGTGTCCATACTTGCCCCAACTGTTCAGGGTTCGACCTCTGCGGTCGTATCAAGCTGCGCCCCAGCGAAGCATTTTATTTTAATTTTATTTTAGTAATTTCCTTAAGACGATTAAGTTATAATGATGTGATTTTTTGCTGGTTTAATCAAATCTGGCTTAAAGTATGGCAAATGGTATGCTGGCAGCAAAAGAGGGTTACTCTTTTGTATAATCAACTATAGTTTTGAACATAGAGCTTCATACTTACTATTTTGTTTTCTTTACATTTAAGATGTATACTTCGGTTTGTATTTTTATTTGGAGAAATTTTTATGAATATCAAATCCAGTGCTTTTGTACCCTTGATTTACAGCTGAATATCTGCCCCATTCTCAATGCAAAAAAGGCTGGGGTTTTTTCCAAAGCAGATTCAATCAGAATTGTCAATTATAATCTTCTTAAACTATTATTAAAGCTGTAGTAAATTTCATTAAAAATGTTGTTTGCATTTCCATTGTTTTGATTTAAACTATTTATGCATTGGTGTTGAACATACCAAAATTTGGACCATGTATCTCAACTGGTCCTTGAATGGCTTCTGGTTCATTGTGAGCAAAGGAAAGATAGATGCCATTTTTCAGATCCAAGCCATAATAAACAGGTCCACATGATAGTAAATACCTATGACATATGAGACATTCATTGTTGATGAGTTTGTTTGTAGTATGATGTAAACAGAGTAATTTTTTTTCAGGTATTATGCTTTTCATTTCCTCCATGTGGTAAAATACCTCCTCCAGTGATAATGATACAACATGTCAGCTTCAAGTATGAAGATGATAAGGTAAATTAATTTGTTAAAACGCCTTAAATGTTAAAAAAGATAATTTTTTGCATGATTCACAATTCCTATTTGATCCTGCTATTTTGTTTTCAGAAAATCCTGTTGCAGCCTATTAATGTCAAATATTTAGTAGGTTCCTACATGCTACAATAAAGCAGTTCTCCCACAGAATAAATTAAAACTTTACATGCATGCTAGCCATTATACAAAGATGTAAATATTTTAGCCAAGGTAGACCTCAGATGCTAAGTGCCCTAAAATTCATTTGACACACTTTTAAAAAGTCTCTCAATCCAACCTATATGTTATGCTTCTTGACTTGCATTAAGTTTTACTTCTTAAGAGTTCAGATCTCAGTCTCTGGCCTACTAGCATGTATACTTATAAGTAGGAATGCATCTAGGGAGTACATGAGCCTTTCCCAAAAACAAAAGATCACTCACCATTATTTTATGCTTGATTGTATTTATCTAAGGCCTTACACAAACATCCTATTTTGTTGACTAGTTACATGAATCATAGCTCCTGTATCTCACATGTCACAGATCGAAGTATTTTGTTGTCAGCAATAAGAAATTAACCTTTATATATTAAATATATTTCATCAGTTATTAATGATTCAGCTAGTTTAAAAACTTACCAGTCAACTTGATATAAAAAGAAAACTGCCTGTAGAATTGTTTAAATTAATGGCAAACTAATTTGCAATATTTACACCTGAATTTTTTGCAGCCTCATATATATAAGGACCTGGATTTTGGCTTTGATTTAGATACCAGAGTAGCATTAGTAGGACCAAATGGTGCTGGCAAGTCTACACTTCTGAAACTTGTTGTTGGAGAGGTAAGGACTGTTTTAATTTTTGTCTTGCCTGCGACGAAAGACGCAGTATGCGAGACATCCGTATTACTATCCGGTGGCGGCGTAAACTGTTTGTATAAAGCTTTATATTTCAGAAGGTAGAAGACCTGGATTTTTCGTACCTTGTACATGCAGATACCTTATGTTACGAAGTTTCCGTCTGTCATATGACCATTGTCCTTGACCTCATTTTCATGGTTCAGCTACTGCTTGAAAAAAAATTACTGGTTTTTATACGACCGCAAAAAAATTTTGTGGTCGTATATTGGTATGACGTTGGCGTCGTCGTCGTCGTCCGAATACATATTGGTTTTCGCACTCTAACTTTAGTTTAAGTGAATGGATCTTTTTGAAATTTGACCATAAGGTTAAATACCACAAAAGGAAGGTTGGGATTGATTTTGGGGGTTATGGTACCAACAGTTAAGGAATTAGGGGCCAAAAAGGGGCCAAAAATGAGCATTTTCTAGTTTCCAGACAATAACTGTGGAACGGTGTATGGATCTCTCTGAAATTATACTACAAGTTTCCATACCACAAAGGGATGGTTAGGATTTGCTTTGGGGGGTTATGGCTCAAACCGCTTAGGAATTAGGGGCAAAAAAGGGGGAAAAACAAGGTTGTCCTGGTTAATGGACAAATACTTAAGTACAAAACATAATTTAAAGCAGTGTAAGGGAGATAAATCAAATACATCATTGAAATTATCTCCCTTACACTGGTTTTAAATTATGTATAAAGTAATGGTTAATGAACAATAAAGATAATCTAAAACAGTGTAAGGGAGGTAATCCAAATACAACGTTTTGGTTACTTCCCTTACACTGCTTTTAAATTATGTTTAAAGAAATGCATATTTATAAAGGAAGACCAGTAAAAATATCTGCAAATGTTTTCATCTTTTTTTTTTTACAAAAAAATCCATATGAAAGATTTGACACTATATTTTTATTAATTCTATTATAAAATAGATTAAGTTAGCACTATGGTAAATTTAAATGGGTAATTATGGTTGCCAACTCCATTGGAAATTTGAATTGAGATTATGACCATATCTTGAGGGAAAGAATTTTTTTGGGGGAAAAAGGGGGGGGGGATAAAAAGAAATTGTGGGGGGCCAATTTTTTCTCATTTCAGATTTCAGAAATTAAAAAGAATTATTCTTCAAATATTATTTGTTTTTCAAATTTCAAATATTGAAAAATTTCAAGAAGTAATCTTTAATTGCACAGTATGGCGCATTAGATTTGTAAAATCTTTGATCACATTTATTTATTTGTTATGCCGAATCTAACAGTGTATTTAGATTTTTAATTTTGGGTCCAGTTTTCAAATTGGTCTACATTAATGTCCAAAGGGTCCAAAATTAAACTTTGTTTGATTTTAGCAAAAATTGAATATATGAGGTTCTTTGATATGCTGAATCTAAACATGTATTTAGATTTTTGATTTTTGGCCCAGTTTTCAAGTTGGTCCAAATTGGGGTCCAAAATTAAACTTTGTTTGATTTCAACAAAAATTGAATATATGGGGTTCTTTGATATGCTGAATCTAACCATGTATTTAGATTTTTTATTTGTGGACCCCGTTATCTAATTGGTTCATATTGAGGTCAAAAGGGTCCAAAATTTAACTTTGTTTGATTTCATCTAAAATTGAATTTTTGGGGTTCTTTGATATTCCAAATCTAACCGTGTATTTAGGTTTTTAATTTTGGGTCCTGTTTTATAAATTGGTCTACATAGAGGTCCAAAGGGTCCAAAATTAAACTTAGTTTGATTTTGACAAAAATTGAATTCTTGGGGTTCTTTGATTTGCTGAATCTAAACATGTGTTTAGATTTTTGATTATGGGCCCAGTTTTCAAGTTGGTCCAAGATAGGGTCCAGTATTTAAACTTTGTTTGATTTGAACAAAAATTGAATATATGGGGTTCTTTGATATGCTGAATCTAAACATGTATTTAGATTTTTGATTATGGGCCCAGTTTTCAAGTTGGTCCAAATTGGGGTCCAAAATTAAACTTTGTTTGATTTCAACAAAAATTGAATATATGAGGTTCTTTGATATGCTGAATCTAACCATGTATTTAGATTTTTTATTTGTAGGCCCCGCTATCAAATTGGTTCATATTGAGGTCAAAAGGGTCCAAAATTAAACTTTGTTTGATTTCATCGAAAATTGAATTTTTGGGGTTCTTTGATATGCCAAATCTAACCGTATTTTTAATTTGGGTCCCGTTTTTGTCGAGCCTGCGACTTTTGTCGCAGAAAGCTCGACATAGGGATAGCGATCCGGTGGCGGCGTTAGCTAACTTCTTAAAAGCTTTATATTTTAGAAGATGGAAGACCTGGATGCTTCATACTTTGTATATGGATGCCTCATGTTACGAAGTTTCCGTCAGTCACATGTCCAATGTCCTTGACCTCATTTTCATGGTTCAGTGACTACTTGAAAAAAAAGTTCAGATTTTTTGTAATGTTAAATTCTCTCTTATTATAAGTAATAGGATAACTATATTTGGTATGTGCGTACCTTGCAAGGTCCTCATGCCCGTCAGACAGTTTTCACTTGACCTCGACCTCATTTCATGGATCAGTGACCAAGGTTAAGTTTTCGTGGTCAAGTCCATATCTCAGATACTATAAGCAATAGGTCTAGTATATTCGGTGTATGGAAGGACTGTAAGGTGTACATGTCCAACTGGCAGGTGTCATCTGACCTTGACCTCATTTTCATGGTTCAGTGGTTATAGTTAAGTTTTTGTGTTTTGGTCTGTTTTTCTTATACTGTATGCAATAGGTCTACTATATTTGGTGTATGGAATGATTGTAAGGTGTACATGTCTAGCTGGCAGGTGTCATCTGACCTTGACCTCATTTTCATGGTTCAGTGGTCAAAGTTAAGTTTTTGAGTGTTGGTCTTTTTTTCTAATACTGCATGCAATAGGTCAGCTATATTTGGTGTATGGAATGATTGTAAGGTGTACATGTCTAGCTGGCAGGTGTCATCTTACCTTGACCTCATTTTCATGGTTCAGTGGTCAAAGTTAAGTTTTTGAGTTTTGGTCTTTTTTTCTAATACTATATGCAATAGTTCAACTATATTTGGTGTATGGAAATATTTTATGATCTATATGTCAGTCACGCAGGTTTTATTTGACCTTGACCTCATTTTCAAGGTTCATTGCTCAGTGTTAAGTTTTTATACGACCGAAAAAAAATTTTGAGGTCGTATATTGGTATGACGGCGTCGTCGTCGTCCGAATACACAATGGTTTTCGCACTCTAACTTTAGTTTAAGTGAATGGATCTCTATGAAATTTTACCATAAGGTTCAATACCACAATAGGAAGGTGGGGATTGATTTTGGGGGTTATGGTACCAACAGTTAAGGAATTAGGGGCCAAAAAGGGGCCGAAAATAAGCATTTTTGTAACTTCCAGACATAACTTGTGTGTTAGCATATGGATCTCTTTGACATTGTACCACAAGATTCCATATCACAAAGGGTCAATGCTGGGATTGATTTTGGGGTTAATTGCCTCAAAATTTTAGGAATAAGGGGCCATAAGGGGACAAAAAACAAGCATTTTTCTAGTTTCATGACAATAACTTGTGTGTAAGTGTATGGATCTTTCTGAAATTTTACTACAAGGTTCCATTTCACAAAGGGAAAGCTGGAATTGAGTGTTGTGGTAATTGCCCAAAACGTTTAGTAATAAGGGGCCTAAAAAGGGGTTTAAAATAAGCATTTTTTAGTTTCTAGACAATAACTTGTGTTCAAGTGTATGGATCTCTCTAAAATTGTATTACAAGGTACCATACCACAAAGGCAAGGCTGTTATTGAGCTTGGTTTGGGGGGAAAGGGGGGTGGGGGGTGATGAATAATAAGGGGGCGGGGGTCAAAAAAGGGGTAATTTTTTTTTTTCCTTTTTTTTTTGTTTAAAATTTACATTTTAAGTTAGTTATTTTTTATCACGAAGAGAAAGTAGGAATTGAGTTTTGGGGTTAATTGCTCAAACATTTATGAATAAGGGGCCAAATATTGGTCAAAAATAAGGATTTTTTAGTTTGCAACAAAAACTTGTGTTCAAGTGTATGGATCTCTGTGAAATTGTATTGCAATGTACCATACCACAAATTGAAGGTTGTGATTGAGGTGGGGGATGATGAATCAAAAGGGGGTTGAAAAAATGTGTGGGAGGTAGGATTTTTTTTTTTCCTTTTTTTTTCTTTAAAATTTTCCATTTAAAGATGGTTGTTTCAGATTTATATATGAAAGAAAATAATAATGATACGGTTATATATCATGAGGAATTGAAATTTAAAATTATGTATATTGGAAATTTAAGTTACATTGGAAAGTAATAATTGGCTTTGGGGGGGGGGGGGGTTATGGCTCTAATGTTTAAGGAATAAGGGGAAAAAAGGTTAAAAAACAAGGGTTTCCATTTTAATAGACAAATAATTGAGTAAAGAACATTATTTAAAAGCAGTGTAAGGTTGGTAATTCAAACTCATTTAAATATCTCATCTACACTGCTTTTAAATTATGTAAATTGGAAATTTGCCAATAACTTTATTGTTAATAAATGCATTGGAAATTTGCCAACAATTTTAGTGTAATAAACTTCATTGGAAATTTGCCAATATAAAATTTTGCTGATGAAGGATTTTTGTTTACCTTTAGCCTTGACTATGAAGTCATTTTCTATTTTTATAGCCTTATGATGTAGTTGAATTATTTAATACTTTTATGATGTGTTTAAATGGGGTTTTATCATGTTTATGGTTGCAAATTTCTTGTTTTAGTATAATAAACTCCATTTAAAATTTGCCAATAAAAAAAATTTTTGTTTATTTTTAGCTATGATTATGATGTCATTTTCTATTTTACTTTTATGGTTGCAAAGAAATTTTTATTTTTAGATATTACTATAAAATGTTGCTGATGCTGATTAAGGATTTTGTTTATTTTTAGCCATGACTATGATGTCATTTTCTATTTTAATACCTTTATGATGTAATTTCCATTTTTAGATATTACTGTTAAATGATGCTGATTAAGGGTTTTTTGCTATGTTTAGCCATGACTATGATGTCATTTTCTATTTTAATATCTTTATGATGTATTTAAATGGGCTTTTATGGTTACAAAGGAATTTTATTTTTATACGACCGCAAAAAAATTTTTGTGGTCGTATATTGGTATGACGTTGGCGTCGTCGTCGTCGTCGTCGTCCGAATACACATTAGTTTTCGCACTCTAACTTTAGTTTAAGTGAATGGATCTCATTGAAATTTTACCATAAGGTTCAATACCACAAAAGGAAGGTGGGGATTGATTTTGGGGGTTATGGTACTAACAGTTAAGGAATTAGGGGCCAAAAGGGGCCAAAAATAAGCATTTTTGTAACTTCCAGACATAACTTGTGTGTAAGTGTATGGATCTCTCTGATATTGTACCACAAGGTTCCATATCACAAAGGGAATGCTGGGATTGATTTTGGGGGTAATTGTCTCCAAATTTTAGGAATTAGGGGCCAAAAAGGGGCAAAAAACAAGCATTTTTCTAGTTTCATGACAATAACTTGTTTGTAAGTGTATGGATCTTTATGAAATTGTACTACAAGGTTCCATATCACAAAGGGAATACTGGGATTGATTTTTGGGGTAATTTCCTCCAAATATTAGGAATTAGGGGCCAAAAAGGGGCAAAAAACAAGCATTTTTCTAGTTTCATGACAATAACTTGTTTGTATGTGTATGGATCTTTATGAAATTGTACTACAAGGTTCCATATCACAAAGGGAAGGCTGGGATTGATTTTGGGGGTTTTCCCTCAAAATTTTAGTAATTAGGGGCCATAAAAGGGCAAAAAAAACATGCATTTTTCTAGTTTCAGGACAATAACTTGTGTGTAAGTGTATGGATCTTTATGAAATTGTACTGCAAGGTTCCATATCACAAAGAGAAAGCTGGAATTGAGTTTGGGGGTAATTGCCCTAAACGTTTAGGGATTTGGGGCCAAAAAACAAGCATTTTTCTAATTTCCAGACAATAACTTGTGTTCAAGTGTATGAATCTCTCTGAAATTGTACTGCAAGGTACCATACCACAAAGGGAAAGCTGGGATTGAGTTTGGGGGCGATGAATCATAAGGGGGTTCAAAAAATTGGGGGGGGGGGGATTTTTTTTTTCCTTTTTTTTCTTTAACATTTTCCATTTTAAATTGGTTATTTCTGATTATATATAAAAGCAAATAATAATGATATGGTTTGAATAGGCATACATGTGAACCTCCCGACGGGAGTACAATAATCCCGTTTTCAGGGGTCTCCTCCCCCCCTCTCGTTGAAAAAATCCCGTGTATGAAATTTTTCATGAATGAAAAATTTCTGCCCAACATAACATCTCAGGCATCTGGTGTAACTGACATTACCTGAAGTTATATTTTACCTGTAAATCAATTAACATGCATAATTATATGGCTTCACTTGTCAGCTTGGGTGTCAAACATACTGGTAAGCAACGATTTTTACCTCAGGCTAACTGCCGTTGTGTAACAAAAACTGTGTATTTATTGGGTTACTTCCCTTGATTTATCCTGTTTTAAGTTACTTTCCTTTTAATAATGAAAATTTTTAAAAGAATATAAATAAAATATAAATTGAACAAATAATCATAAAAGGATGGTTATTAAATGATTTTAAATGTCTTAGGACAAATAAAAAAATAATAATTTGAAAATTATTTGAGGATTCTATACTTCCTTTTAAGGCTTAAATTGAAATTTATATAATAACTATGACCCTATCTTTACAGATAGAATGAATTTCTGAGTTTGCAAATAAAAACTATTTGCAAGAGAAAAAAAAAAAAAATAAAAACTATTTGCAGACAGCTAAACAAATGTTCTGGTTGCAATGATTGTTTTATAGAATATGAAGTAAAAAATTTAAAGAACATGCTGGAAAAAAACAATGTTAGATTGAACATGTAGAATATAAAGATGGAGAAACTTTATAAGTACAAGGGTACTATAAACATAATAAATTGGTTGGAAAGTTGAAGAAAACACACTTTAAAAGACCATTTTTACAGCACACGGTTACATTTACAACAAAATTAATGTCGATTAAAAACCTCCTGATCTGAGTCCTAATCTCCTGACCAAAATTTCCCAATCTCCTGATCTGAGTTTCACAGTCCATCACATGTATGAATAGGTAAATTGAAAATTTTTAAGTTCTTAGACCACTTTCATTCTGTGTCAGAAACCTATGCTGTGTCAAATATTTAATTACAATCCAAATTCAGTGCTGTATCAAGCTTGAATGTTGTGTCCATACTTGCCCCAACTGTTCAGGGTTCGACCTCTGGGGTCGTATCAAGCTGCGCCCCAGCGGAGCATTTTATTAGATATTACTTTAAATGTTGCTAATTAAGGATTTTTGTTTATTTTTAGCCATGACTATGATGTCACTTTCTATTTTAATACCTTTATGATGTATTTAAATGGGCTCCCATGTATTTAGATTTTTGATTATTTATACATGTTACCAAATTGGTCCACATTGAACAAAAACGGTCCAAATTTCAACTTTATTACATTACATCAAACATTGAATTCTACATATTCTTTGATATATTGAAATTAACAAACAATTTAGTTTATGGATATTCCACCATAATAGGTAAATTAAATTTTTTCCAGTTCTTACACCACATTCATCCTGTGTCAGAAACCTATGCTGTGTCAAATATTTAATGACAACCAAAGTCATAGCTGTATCAAGCTTGAATTTTGTGTCCATACTTGCCCCAACTGTTCAGGGTTCGACCTCTGCGGTCGTATCAAGCTGCGCCCCAGCGAAGCATTTTATTGTGTTTTCGTCTGTTATTAAACTATAAGCAATAGGTCAACTATATTTGTTGTATGGAAGAATTGTTAGCTGTACATGCCTGCCTAGCATGGTTCATCTGACCTTGACCTCATTTTCATGGTTCATTGGTCAATGTTTAGTTTACTTGGTTAATGTTAAGTTTATGTGACAGTTGTAATAAAGCTTTATATTTAGGACTATCAACATAATATCAATGATTAGTAAAGAAGGCGATACATTTCAGCGTGTGCACTCTTGTTTAAATTGGTCTTCATTGAGGTCCAAAGGGTCCAAAATTAAACTTAGTTTGATTTTAACAAAAATTGAATTCTTGGGGTTCTTTGATATGCTGAATCTAAACATGTGTTTAGATTTTTGATTATGGGCCCAGTTTTCAAGTTGGTCCAAGTTGGGGTCCAAAATTAAACTTTTTTTGATTTCAACAAAAATTGAATATATGGGGTTCTTTGATATGCTGAATCTAACCATGAATTTAGATTTTTTATTTGTGGGCCCCGCTATCAAATTGCTTCATATTGAGGTCAAAAGGGTCCAAAATTAAACTTTGTTTGATTTCATCAAAAATTGAATTATTGGGGTTCTTTGATATTCCAAATCTAACCGTGTATTTAGATTTTTAATTTTAAGTCCCGTTTTTTAAATTGGTCTACATTAAGGTCCAAACGGTCCAAAATTAAACTGCTGAATCTAACCATGTATTTTGATTTTGGACATTGGACCATAATAGGTAAATTAAAAAAATTCAAGTTCTTAGACCACATTCTTTCTGTGTCAGAAACCTATGCTGTGTCAAATATTTAATAACAATCCAAATTCATAGCTGTATCAAGCTTGAATGTTGTGTCCATACTTGCCCCAACTGTTCAGGGTTCGACCTCTGCGGTCGTATCAAGCTGCGCCCAGCGAAGCATTTTATTGTGTTTTGGACTGTTTTTCAATAACCATAAGCAATGGGTCAACTATATTTGGTGTATGGAATAATTGTAAGGTGTACAAGTCTTTGTGACAGTTTTTATCTGACCTTGACCTCATTGTCATGGATCTTTAAAAATATTAAGTTTATGTGATACTTGTAGTAAAACCTTTATCTCAGACCTTCAACATAAACTCAATGGTCAGTAAAACAGGCGAGACATTTCAGCGTGTGCACTCTTGTTTTATTAGGTACAGGGGTTTTTTTTTCACCATAAAAAGAAAATAACTTCAATATAAAGGCAATATCAAGATTACCAAAAAAGAAATATCTAGAAACATCAAGATCCCCAAAAACAGACATACATGTTGAAACATCAAGATCACCGAAAACAGATATACATGTGGAAACATGAAGATCACCAAAAATAGATATCTAGAAACATCAAGATCACCAAAAACAGATATACATGTAGAAACAAGATCACCAAAAATAGATATCTAGAAACATCAAGATCACCAAAAATAGATATCTAGAAACATCAAGATCACCAAAAATAGATATCTAGAAATATCAAAATCACCAAAAATAAATACTGTGGATTCATTTTTATTCGTGGTATACCAATTTTCGTGGGTTTCGTGGGTCACAGCGAACCACGAATTTAAGAATTCAACGAAGAATAATCCTGAGAAATGTGTATGGAGTCGGATGTTTATTTCCGGTTATGTTATGCAGTTCTAGTATAGTGTTGACTAGCGATTAACATTGTAACATAACACGAGTTTTTATTGAAAGTATTTTGGTTAAATCAATAATAAATATATCGAATATCAGTGATAATTTACTTTTTAAAATTGATTAAAACTGTTCATGGAAAATAACTGCAAGTTGTTAATTATCGTGTCATAGTTTGGTTTACTGGTGATTAAAAAATCAATAGGATTAAGTACGAGGATATTGCCCGTAGGTAATATTGTTTATGACATGAACATTTATTTTCACACCTTTTACTTATATGACTGTTTATTAGGTCTGATTAGGGAAATGAGCTTTCAATCATAGAGTTTTGAATGCCTTATAAAATTCCGACAAGAATTTATAAATTGTAAAACAAACAAATAATTATTTGTCTCTGTCCATTATTGTAATAGAAGTTTTCAATGAACACTTTAATCTAGAATGACCAAGCGAGGATTTTGACAATTCAAAACTTTTTCAATGAATTCCTTCTTTTTTCTTTGTTTTATTATTGATCAAACCAAGGAGGTTATATGATCTCCTAAATCAAAAAGAAATCCACGAATTACGTATCTGATTGTTTTTTTTTGTAATCAGCAATCCACGAATTTACGTATACCACGAAACGTCTTTTTTTCTCTATCCACGAAAATTGATACCCACGAAAATAAATGAATCCACAGTATCCAGAAACGTCATGATTACAGAAAATAATTCAGAATAATTGAATACTGTGAGGCATACTTCATCCTATCACTTGACATGCATGAAAAGTATATGTTATCTATTTCTTTCATAGTATCTTTATGCAGCAAGCTTATCAGCAGGAAAAACACACTTATTCCACACTGTGTCCAAAGTGAAAATTTTTTTTTTCGATTGCTGCAGTGAAAAATTTGAAGTTAATGTGAGAAGTGAAATGTCATATTGCATGATTGACAAAGAAGATGTTCATTAATTTTAGAAAAAATTAATGAAGTTTCCTGATAATTTACCAGAATTTGATTTTCTGTGTGACATCACTAGCCATGGTCACCTTTTATACACCATCATAACAGTAAAACTAGACAACAAAAAATGTTGACAAGTTGACATCATAACTGAATTAGGACTAGCATGACTAGTGAAGAGCTAAAAACAAACAAACCACTCATATATAATTTAAAATATTTACTCTTGTTGATAAAGGTATAAATGGGCAAAGAAATAAAAGAATCCAAACTTATTGAATGAAGACATTCACTTAATTCCTGTTAGTTTCTTTCTTATTAAATTTCAGTGTAAAGGGAGCCAGTCAAAGATGTAAACTGGTCAAATTAATGCATGTATATATTGCTGAAATTAAATATTAACTGGATTTGTTATTTATTTTAGTTGGTACCCACAGAAGGAATAATCAGGAGAAATTCTCATTTGAAGATAGGCAGATATCATCAGGTAAATATGTAATATTGCAGTCGATAAGTAAATTTACCAGTACTGTTATATTTATTTTTATGCTTAAAGTGTTAAAACAATGGTTTCATATAATTTTAATGTTCCACTTCTTTAAAGAAAGCAGATAATTAGGGTTTGATAAAAGTGCTTTGAGGAATGGAAAGCAGGCAAAAGTGAAAACAACACAACATATTAACTTTGCTGATGCATTCAAGAGTAAATCTCAGTATTTCATGTGAATTAACTATTTTATGTTCTAGCACTTAGCAGAGGCATTAGATCTAGAGCAGTCTGCTTTAGAATGGATGACAAGGTGCTTCCCAGATGTCAAAGAGAAAGAAGAGATGAGACGTATTATTGGACGGTTTGGATTAACAGGTCCACAACAGGTATACAATATTGTATGAAAGAAATGTTCACCACTTAACTATGCTTGTAAAAAAATAATGATGAAATTTGCTGTTCCTCTTTGGAAAAATGGTAAAGATCAAGGAGTAAGTTTGTTTTCTGGATCTAATTTGAAAAGTTTTCATTCAGCTACTTAATTTTTAAGGCAAATGATTATATTTTTTGTTTTAATTGAAGTCTCTGTTGCATAAAAATTTTAACATCTTGTTTTTTTTTCCAGATTTGTCCAATTAAAAATTTATCTGATGGACAGCGGTGTCGTGTCATATTTGCTTGGTTGGCATGGCAAAACCCACATATACTGTTACTGGACGAACCTACAAATCATTTAGACCTGGAGACAATAGATGCATTAGCTGATGCTATCAATGATTTTGAAGGAGGATTAATTCTTGTCAGTCACGACTTCAGACTTATATCTCAGGTAACTTAAAAAGTCAATCATAACTTCAGACTTATATCTTGGGGAACTTCAAAAGTCAGTCTAGACATCAGACTTATGTATCAGGTAACTTAAAAAGTCAGTCAGTCACAACTTCAGACTTAAATCTCTGGGACCCTACAAAGTTGGTCACTACTTCAAACTTATATCTCAGGTAACTTATAAAGTCACGATTTCAGACTTGTATCTCAGGTAACTTAAAAAGTCAGTCATGATGTTAGACTTATAAAAATTTTTACTTGTAACTTATATCAAGGATTTAAGAAACAAGTCACAATTTCAATTTCTCAGTACTTCAAATAGTAAATTGCAATCTCAGACTAATATTGGAAGTTTTTTTGAAAGGCTGTCAGAAAATTATCTTAGGAAATTAAGAGTTCAGTAATGACTTCATACTTATACAACAAATAGTTAAAAAGGTCAGTCAGGACTTCGGACATACATCTCGGGTAATTTACGTCGGTACTGATGAGACCAAATCTCATGTAAGGAGTTGAGATGTTTCTCGCATCACACTGAAGCGCTTACACTTGTCTGTTTTTGTAATGAAATGTATATCAGCAATGTCTCGGAAGAGTTTGAAAATCAATGCCAATCAACTGTTTTTAAAGGAGTGCCCCTTGGAATTATCTGTGCGTCCGGTCTTGAAAGCGTTCTCACACGTTTCTTTATGAAATTTATATCTAAGGTTTAAATCAGCAATTCTTCTTGTATTTTTTATGTAAAAAAAAAAAAGTCAAAATTACCTCAAAAATTATATTGGACTTATTGCCCTTAAAAAGATAAAATAAGAAAATCGGCGGGGGACATTGGAATGCTGTTCTTTTTTTTCTTCTGTAAATTGACAGATCCAAATAAGTGAAGTTTCTGTTTGAATAAGAAAAAGAAAATCAGAACTTTTTAAAGTAGTTTCATTTTTTATACGACCGCAAAAAAAATTTGTGGTCGTATATTGGTATGACGTTGGCGTCGTCGTCCGAAGACACATTGGTTTTCGCACTGTAACTTTAGTTAAAGTGAATGGATCTCAATGAAATTTTACCTTAAGGTTCAATACCACGAAAGGAAGGTGGGGATTGATTTTGGGGGTTATGGTACCAACAGTTAAGGAATTAGGGGCCAAAAAGGGGCCAAAAATAAGCATTTTTGTAACTTCCAGACATAACTTGTGTGTTAGTGTATGGATCTCTCTGACATTGTACCACAAGGTTCCATATCACAAAGGGAATGCTGGGATTGATTTTGGGGGTAATTGCCTCCAAATTTTAGGAATTAGGGACCAAAAAGGGGAAAAAAACAAGCATTTTTCTAGTTTCATGACAATAACTTGTGTGTAAGTGTATGGATCTCTCTGACATTGTACCATAAGGTTCCATATCACAAAGGGAATGATGGGATTGATTTTGGGGGTAATTTCCTCCAAATTTTAGGAATTAGGGGCCATAAAGGGGCAAAAAACAAGCATTTTTCTAGTTTCCTGACAATAACGTGTGTAAGTGTATGGATCTTTATGAAATTGTACTACAAGGTTCCATATCAAAGAGGGAAAGCTGGAATTGATTTTGGGGGTAATTGCCCACAACGTTTAGGAATAAGGGGCCAAAAAGGGACCAAAAATAAGCATTTTTCTAGTTTCCAGACAATAACTTGTGTTCAAGTGTATGGATCTCTCTGAAATTGTACTGCAAGGTACCAAACCACAAAGGGAAGGCTGGGATTGATTTTGGGGGTAATTCCCTAGAAATTTGAGGAATTAGGGGCCATAAAGGGGCAAAAAAACAAGCATTTTTCTAGTTTCAGGACAATAACTTGTGTGTAGGTGTATGGATCTTTATGAAATTGTACTGCAAGGTTCCATATCACAAAGGGAAAGCTGGGTTTGAGTTTGGGGGTAATTGCCCTAAATGTTTAGGAATTTGGGGCCAAAAAACAAGCATTTTTCTTGTTTCCAGACAATAACTTGTGTTCAAGTGTATGGATCTCTCTGAAATTGTACAGTTCATACATGTGAACCGCCCGAGGGGAGTACAATAATCCCGTTTTCAGGGGTCTCCTCCCGACCTCCCATTGAAGACAAACAAATCCTGTGTATGAAATATTTCATGAATGAAAAATTTCAGCCCAACATATCTGGTGTAACTGACATTACTGAAGTTATATTTTACCTGTAAATCAATTAACATGCATAGTTATATGGCCTCACTTGTCACCTTGGGTGTCAAACATACTGGTAATAAACGATTTTTACCTCAGGCTAACTGCCGTTGTGCAATAAAACTTTATTTATTTAAAATGAATGTTGGGTTACTTCCCTTGATTTATCCTGTTTTAAGTTACTTTCCCTTAAATAATGTAAATTTTTAAAAGAATATAAATAAAATATAAATTGAACAAATAATCATAAAAGGATGGTAATTAAATGATTTTAAATGTTTTAGGACAAATAAAAAAATAATAATTTGAAAATTATTTGAGGGTTCTATACTTCCTTTCAAGGCTTAAATTGAAATTTATATAATTACTATGACCCATGGTTACAGTTTGAATGTGTTACTTATCATGCATTAAAAATCTACTTGCATAAAGATAAAAATAAAAGATCTATTGCAGATAGATAAGCAAATGTTCTGATTGCAATGAATAATTGTAAAAAAGATATGACCTAAAAAATTTAAAGAACATACTGAAAAAGAAGAATGTTAGATTGAACAAGTTGAAAGTTTAAAAAGATAGAGAAAATTTATAAGTACAAAGGTACTATAAACATAATACATTCGGATGGAAAGTTGAAGAAAACACACTTTAACAGACAATTTCTACAGCACACGGTTACATTTACGACAGAATTTATGTCACTTAAAAACATCCTGATCTGAGTCCTAATCTCCAAAACTCCTGATCTTAGTTTCACAGTCCATCACATGTATGTGTACTGTAAGGTACCATAGCATACCACAAAGGGAAGGCTGGGATTGAGTTTGGGGGTGATGAATCATAAGGGGGTTAAAAAAAAAATTGGGGGGGGGGGATTTTTTTTCCCTTTTTTTCTTTAAAATTTTCCATTTTAAATTGGTTATTTCTGATTTATATATAAAAGCAAATAATAATGATATGGTTTGAATAGATAAATTAAAAATTTTTAAGTTCTTAGACCACATTTATTCTGTGTCAGAAACCTATGCTGTGTCAAATATTTAATTACAATCCAAATTCAGTGCTGTATCAAGCTTGAATGTTGTGTCCATACTTGCCCCAACGGTTCAGGGTTCGACCTCTGCGGTCGTATCAAGCTGCGCCCCAGCGGAGCATTTTATTGTTGATTTGTTTGGAATTGACTTAATCCAAATTATTTGTAGGACATGAAAATCGTATAAATCTAAGATGTAGAATAACTTTTATTTATATTGTAATGTTAATTTCAGGTAGTGGAAGAGATCTGGATTTGTGAGAAACAAACTGTTACTAAATGGGAAGGAGATATCTTTAGTTACAAAGAAGCATTGACTAAAAAGGTCAAGAAAGAAAATGCAAAAATGTTAAAAAATATATGAGTATGAAATTTAGGGAAAAAATTTTGTGATATTTATTTATAAACAATTTTTACTGCAATTTAAAACCTGATGGTAATGTGTTTTCATCAGCAGGGCTTGTACATCATCATAATTTGTGGATTTATTTGGCGAACTGTTCTTATAAAATAGAGGAATCTCTTTGTGATATTTGTTTGGTGACACAGTTTGAAACAGTAATCAATGCTACTGTATATTAATATACATAATAGGGAATATTATATGAAATTGGTGTCTGATGACTTGCAGCAACATCACTACTACAATGATCATACTAGATTGTTTGAATAGATTGACTGCATCAATAAGTAAGACCTACAAAAGGCTACATTTGTAATTGTACCAAATATTTTCTTTATAGCTGAAAATTGCTGAAAAATTATTTTTATGTGTTTTAGCATGAAAAAAGCTCCATGATATTAAATGTTGTCAATGCAGTAATTGGCATGATGTTTTTAGTAGACTTCAAAAGACAGAATTACACAATCAGTAAAATTTGACAAAGTTCATTCCATAGCCTGACAGATTTCTTGGTTTTAAAAAAGAAAAGGGGTGGGGATATCAGTGCAAAATGTAATTTATAATGTATTAAAAATTTATTGCAAATGGTCAATATGGTCTAAAACATGATATTCTGTTGTATTTTTGATTTCAGTGTATGAGAATGTCTTCTTTCATTGATGCGTTCAAACTTCATGCTTGGTTTCATGCCAATCATATAAATTATTTCAGTAAAATGTTGTCACTTTAAATTTTTTATAGAATTGTATTAAATTACGAACAAAGGACATTTTTCCTTTACTTGTATTTTATTTATTGTAATGTTGGAATTTGTTTGATAGGTGACAGATTTTATTGGTTTCAGTAATGTTTTTATTTTCTTGATTTCTGTTACGTATTTTACTTTTGATTTCAGCAATGAGATTTCATAAAATATTTCAATACTTGTTCACAATTTTATTATTTTATAGGCCATCTCCACTACAATATCATAGATGATAATTAAAGGTATCAAATGTAAAAAAAAATTTTAACAAATTAAAAAAATCCGTATTTCTAAAGGATACAATGGTTCAAATGTTCACACAGAGTTATAATTTGATTTTAAATTATTTGGATTTTTTTTGGATAAAAAAATGTGAAGAATGTCTTATTGTATTACTATTTAAAAGAACAAATCAAATTATACAATATACAGTTGGACTTTTCATATGAACTTATGTAATGTTATTTCGGAATTAAACATTGAATTTTTATAACTTGAATGTTATTTGGCCCTTAACTGTACTTGCCAGTAAGAACCAAAATATAAATGTTATTTTAGTATAAATCATAGCTTACCTGATCTCAAAATTAATTGCAGTAGTTCTTGCTTCTTATATCCATATCAACCAGTTATAAGAATGGAAAGATGTGTAGAGAATGAGACAATATCCCAGATACATGAGTTAAAACATACCTTTGAAGTTCCCAACAATGGAAGTGCTAAAGAAAGGCCTCAATAGTAAGATACCAAAATTTAGAATGGAGGATTTATTTCTGGCACCAAAAAGACACAGTTTAATATGCAGGATTAATCGGGAAAAAATCCCTACACACAATTGACAAGTCAAACCAAAAGAAAAGAAATATTGCTTTTATTTTTGTATACATAAAATGTGTTTCATCTCAAATTCCTATTGAAGCCTTCAACACAGAACAAAAACTTGCACCTCACTGCAAGCTCAAGCATGTCCTTTTAGCAAACGTTATAGCAGAAGTCTTTAGAAGATGTTGATCCTGCTACATCTGTGCATTGAAGAACATCACTTTATCTTGAATTCAATGTATTAATATATCATGACTAAAATATGCAAAGAAATCTAACAAATACATTGAATTAATCTGTTAACAATGTTTACATTCATTCTTGTTCATGGGTTCAAACAACAAATGGGGATGTTTATGAATTAGCTGAACAACTGATGGCAAGTTTACTGAGGTCTTAACCTGAATGGTGAATCTTGAAGTCTAAATTCAGATTACATTGGTTGTGAAATTACTGGTATGGAGTAAAACATATTAGTGAAAGTATCTTGATAAACTGTGCGACAGCACAATAATCAATATAAGAACAAACTAACAAAATCATTGGAAAAGGCTTGACTCATTGCATCAGTACTAAGTATAAAATGACATATGACACAAAAGTACATATCTAAGAGTACTTGCAGTTACTGAAAGCTAATTCAAAAGTCCAACTCTGTTTTGTAAGATTTTTATCACTACAGCAAATATGTCACACTCCGTGATGAACTTGCATTCATATGTAGGTAATTTCTCAAAAAGGTGGAGATATGTCTATAACAGTTCTATCTACAAAATTCTTGTATTGTCCAATGCAGTTCAGTTGTAATATACAGTTTAAATTTTGTGGCTTATAGTTTTAAGAGGGGACATCCTTAAAGATATATACTAAATTATTGTAAATAACATAAAAGCAGATGAAGCAAGCATTGACTCCTCCAAACTGTCCAGATAATTAAAAAAGGATGTGCTCAGCTACTTTCAAAGAGATTTTAACAGTTTAGAAACCATTTTTCCCTTTGTAGAAGATACAGAGGACAATCAAATATGGCTAGACATCACCGTGTCCTAATGATAAAAAAAGATGAATAGACGTGCTTTGGTCCACAATACCTAGAACATTTTAACTAAGATCTCTTGTTCAATTACATTACACCTAATGAGACCTTCTAGTTCTGTCAATTTATAAGTCAGAGACAGAAAACCAAAGACAGAGCAAATTAAACTTCACCCAAAACTAAGGATGAGCTCTCTTGTTCTTGAAAGGTAAACAGTTCTATTGGCAGTCTTGTGTTGTGCATGACTAGTAAAAATCCAATGAAAGGTCACATATGGTGGTGAGTAAAAAGGACAGTATTATGGCTATGACAAAACAAACATTTCCATTTCTGTAAGGCTTACCAAGATTACTGAAGATTTATTGGTTGCTTAATGTCAAGTGGCAAATATTTCATGCATGTTCAGTACAAGAACAAATTGACAATACCATAGGGTTGGACTGGGATGAATGGCGGGAAATTTGATGTGTCAATTGAAAATGAGGGTATACTGGATAGGGACAGAAATACAGCCTTGCAACAGGCCATCTATGGATCATTTAAAGAGATGTTGTAGGGGTTAGCATGCAAAGAGCGTGACACTCTCTAAACGAGGCATCGGATTTAATGTCCAATTCTGACTCTGCATGGCTGAGTTTTTATACATCTCGCACAACCAAAAGGACACGACTGAGTTTTTATACATCTCGCACAACCAAAAGGACACGACTGAGTTTTTATACATCTCGCACAACCAAAAGGACACCCCATTTTCGCAAGGGATTTACAGCTGGACAGAAGAAGACCAAAATTGACCAAACTTCTATTCCCCAGTCACCCTTGTCTAAAGAGATGGCTCCAACTTTACCACCAATAGTACTTAATACCCCAGTCACCCTTGTCTGAAGAGATGGCTTCAACTTTACCACTAATAATACTTTATACCCCAGTTACCCTTGTCTGAAGAGATTGCTTCAACTTTACCACGAATAGTCCTTTATTCCCCAGTCACCCTTGTCTAAAGAGATAGCTTCAACTTTACCACGAATAGTCCTTTATTCCCCAGTCACCCTTGTCTAAAGAGATAGCTTCAACTTTACCACGAATAGTCCTTTATTCCCCAGTCACCCTTGTCTAAAGAGATAGCTTCAACTTTACCACGAATAGTCCTTTATTCCCCAGTCACCCTTGTCTGAAGAGATGGCTTCAACTTTACCACGAATAGTCCTTTATTCCCCAGTCACCCTTGTCTGAAGAGATGGCTTCAACTTTACCACGAATAGTCCTTTATTCCCCAGTCACCCTTGTCTGAAGAGATGGCTTCAACTTTACCACGAATAGTCCTTTATTCCCCAGTCACCCTTGTCTGAAGAGATGGCTTCAACTTTACCACTTAGAGTCCTTGTATGACATCATGTTGGGTTTTTGTTGAAATTTTACTTTGCTGAATTAAATCTACTTTGAAGTACCAGTCAATATTTCAGTATATATAATGACGATGTGTGGCAATTTACAGCTTGACATGTGCTTACAATATTTCAGTATATATAATGACAACGTGTGGCAATTTACAGCTTGACATGTGCTTACAATATTTCAGTTTATATAATGACAACGTGTGGCAATTTACAGCTTGACATGTGCTTACAATATTTCAGTATATATAATGACGACGTGTGGCAATTTACAGCTTGACATGTGCTTACAATATTTCAGTATATATAATGACAACGTGTGGCAATTTACAGCTTGGCATGTGTTTACAATATTTCAGTATATATAATGACGACGTGTGGCAATTTACAGCTTGACATGTGCTTACAATATTTCAGTATATATAATGACGACGTGTGACAATTTACAGCTTGACATGTGCTTACAATATTTCAGTATATAAAATGACGACGTGTGGCAATTTACAGCTTGACATGTGCTTATACGTGTGGCAATTTACAGCTTGACATGTGCTTACAATATTTCAGTATATATAATGACGACGTGTGGCAATTTACAGCTTGACATGTGCTTACAATATTTCAGTATATATAATGACAACGTGTGGCAATTTACAGCTTGACATGTGCTTACAATATTTCAGTATATATAATGACGACGTGTGGCTATTTACAGCTTGACATGTGCTTACAATATTTCAGTATATATAATGACAACGTGTGGCAATTTACAGCTTGACATGTGCTTACAATATTTCAGTATATATAATGACGACGTGTGGCAATTTACAGCTTGACATGTGCTTACAATATTTCAGTATATATAATGACGACGTGTGACAATTTACAGCTTGACATGTGCTTACAATATTTCAGTATATATAATGACAACGTGTGGCAATTTACAGCTTGACATGTGCTTACAATTTTTCAGTATATATTATGACGACGTGTGGCAATTTACAGCTTGACATGTGCTTACAATATTTCAGTATATATAATGACGACGTGTGGCAATTTACAGCTTGACATGTGCTTACAATATTTTAGTATATATAATGACAGCGTGTGGCAATTTACAGCTTGACATGTGCTTACAATATTTCAGTGTATATAATTACGACGTGTGGCAATTTACAGCTTGACATGTGCTTACAATGTTTCAGTATATATAATGACGACATGTGGCAATTTACAGCTTGACATGTGCTTACAATATTTCAGTATATACAACAACGACTCTACAAATAATGTGTTCATAATTCATGAAGTTTGATTGTATGAGAAAAACAGTGATTTATACAGATTGTTTGAATCTTGGTAAATATTTTCATCTGTGTGTTTTTACAAAACACATTTACAACTTATGAGACGGTCGTATATTGGTATCACGTCGTCGTCAGCGTCGTCCAAAGACATTTGGTTTCCGGACAATAACTTTAGTATTAGTAAATAGAAATCTATGAAATTTAAACACAAGGTTTATAACCACAAATGGAAGGTTGGGATTGTTTTGATGGTTATGGTCCCAACAGTTTAGGAATTAGGGGCCAAAAAGGAGCCCAAATAAGCATTTTCTAGTTTCCAGACAATAACTTGTGGAATGGTGTATGTATCTCTCTGAAATTATACCACAAGTTTCCATACCACCAAGGGATAGTTAGGATTGGCTTTGGGGTGTTATGGCTCAAACCGTTTGGGAATTAGGGGCAAAAAAGTGAGAAAAAACAAGGGTGTCCTGGTTAATGGACAATTACTTAAGTACAATGTTGTGTTTGAATTACCTCCCTTACACTGCTTTTAAATTATGTATATAGAAATGTTGTATTGTCTTGAGGTTATTAGCTGTCAATTTATTTTTAGAAGTTACTATTTTAATAATTTAAAAATGC